ATGTTGACAGTAACAATAAAACCTATTGATGACTGGCAGCTGCTTTTATTGCTTTTATTTATTAATTTTTTGCTTTTAGCGAATTTCCCTATAGGGAAGTAGCTATTACCGTAGGTGGCACGGTAAGACCTAGACCCGGGACCGATTTACTTTTTCATTTTGATGTCCCCAGAGGCCAAAAACACCATTCGTTCAAATTTTTATATATGTATATATATATATATATATATAGAGACATATATATATATATATATATATATATATACGTCCGTGAACACGATAACTTGAGTAATTTTTGTCCGATTTTGATGAAATTTGGTTTAAAGGTGTAAAGCGGGATAAACTTGAATGAGTTCGCGAACCAGCAAGATCGGACCATGGGAACGGGGCTTTACGGGGGGTTTTATGGGGTAAAAATTGGGTTTTCTCACTTTTGACCCTCAAAACACAAAATTTCCCGATTTCTCTTTAGACCTTTTTAAAGAGCTTAAAAAAACAAATAATTTAGTATACAAAAGTATTTTTGATCGATTATTAGTAACGGAGAAAATTTAAAAAATTGTAAATTTAAAATTCCCATGTTATTCTTATGGAGAATATTGTCAAATGTTGTAGTTTGCTTGTTTATGGATATATTTTGATCAAACTTGGCAAATTTATTTATTTTGTACTAAGCTATCAATATTTTACTCAAAAACACACTTTATTAGTTTCCTTGTAGCAGCAAACCTAGGTACTCGTTAAACCTAATGTTATTAAAATAAAATATTTAACTGGAAATCAATTCAGACAAAAATGGAAATTCGCTTAGTCGGCAGGTTTGCTGCGGCGGGGGTATTTTATGTAAGCATGTGTAAAAGTAAAAACTATGGCTCTTTCGTTCATGAAGTTAATGTAATCTATTTAAAAAATCACTTATTCATAATGAAAAAGTACCTAGTGTTTGTTTCAATTTAAATATTTATAATACAGTTTTTACTTTTTAAATTAATTCCTGATTGTAAAATTACAATAGTGTTAGTCTTAGAAATGTAAAAGGTAAATTCAATGGTATTAAAAACAACAGTACAATGTTTTGTTATAGCAATAAATATAATAGCAACGGAATATTATTGTAATTATAAAGTTTTTGTACAAAGCTTGGTTGATTTTCATTATTTATCATATCATTGGATTTGTAATAAGGCTATGCATGGTGGCTCTGAGTTAATCGGTTCAATTTATAATCAAATCTGTGTTCCTTTCTGACCCAGAAATGATAGTATCATCAGAGAGTTCGGGGACACTCTGTAATATTAATTAATCATTATCTGTTATGTGTTAGAACATTTATATAGAATAGAACAATTAATTATTTAACAGTGCAGATTAATAGAAATAAAAATAAATTAATGTAAAAATGTTATTATCCTATGATATTTTGTTAGTTGTTGTTTTACTAGCACATTTTAACTCAATAGTGTTCTCTTATATTTGTATTTATTAAATTTGTGAATGGCATACTGTACTGTTTTCCTGTTTTAAAATCAAAATATTTATTTTGTATTCCAGTTTGAGAGCGATAAAGAATTATGAGTCTATAACTTTCCCTAAATATAAAACAAAAGATTGTAGTAATTTTTTAAAGCAATTAAACAAATTTTACAAAAACGATGTAAGCATAATTGCAGCGCAACTAAAACATATATTTCACAAGTGTATTTTAGCGCTGCATCCTAATAGAAATTAGAATTCACTGTCACTTTGGAATAATGCATATAATAATAATTCGGAATAATTCATTGTGAAGCTTATGCTTTCGACTACTATTTTAGTTAGATTTAATGAGGTCTCCTTTACAGCCAGATGCCAGCCCTATAGATGAAATGTTGTTTTAGATCGTTAATTATATAATTAAATTGGATAAAATTGTTGCGTTCATCAGATGAGGTGGAAAAGTTACCAAATTCAGCATTTTCAAAGCACAGAATAACCCGTGTAGTTTGCTCAGTATGCGTGAATTTGAATGCATTATTTTGTTTCTGCCCTTCATTTTTTTGTAAACTTCAGGAATTTCTATGTCTACTACCATTTCCGAAGTCAATAAGTAGCATTGCAAAGCACACATAATATGAGCTAACACTCTCTAAGATTAAGAGGTGCTTAGTGAGGTAAGTTGGCTGGTGAGAGTACAGTCCCATACAATGCAGCTGCATTCTGTGTACAATATGCAGCAGGGAAAGTAGAGAACAAGCCGAGCAAATTGAGACGCAAGACTATGAGGTAACACATGACTTGTACTGCATAAACGATGAAATATGCAGTGAACAATTAGTTAACAGCCGAGCTTATATAGTCAACAACAATTCAGACGCAATAAATTGACAACACCCTTGCAAACCTGCAGACTAAGCTAAATTTCATTTGAATCATTTCAATTAAATCAATTTAAATCATTAGGTTTAACAAGTAACAAGGTTTGCTGCTACAGGGAGCGTAATTTGTAGTAAAATATAATTAGCTTAGTATAAAATAAATCAATTTGCCAAGTTTCATAAAAATATACCCATAAACAAGCAAACTACACCATTTTACAATATTCTCCATAAGAATAACATGGGAATTTAAAATTTAATTTTTTTTAATTTTCTCTGTAACCAATAAGTAATAACTGTACAAAAACATTTTGTTAAACTGAATTATTTGTTTTTTTAGCTCTTTAAAATGGTCTAGAGAGAAATTCGGGAATTTTGTGTTTTGAGGGTCAAAAATGGGAAAACCCCATTTTTACCACATAAAACCTCCCGTAAAACCCTGTTTCCATGGTCCGATCAAGCTGGTTCACATACTCATTCAAGTTTATCCTGCCATACACATTCAAACCAAATTTCATCAAAATCAGACAAAAATTAAAAATTACTCAAGCTATCACATTCACAGACACATATTAATCAATATAATTAAAAAAAATAATAATAAATCAATATTATAAAATAAAAATAAACAATATAATGTATAATAATAAATAACATTTTGAACGGATGGTGTTTTTGGGCTCATGAGGACATCAAAATAAGAAAGTAAATCGGTCCTAGACCTATAGGGAAATTCGCTAAAACATGTAGAATCTGTGTCTGTTATATAATGAGGAACATTAAAAAAATCATGTTGGGAAACCTAATTCAAGGAAAAATATAGTCGAGTGAAAATTTAAAAACGTACGTTTTCAGCAAAAGCACTTTGCAAATTCTTTTCCCCTTTTTTCAAAACTTTTATTATTATTTTTATTTCATTAACATTTGAAGTTTCATAAAATGTCCATGGTAACGCAATATCTTTGGTAGTTTCTTTTTAAAATAGCATCTTTAGTGGAAAAACACAAAATCCTGTCACGACCATAACGTACGTTTAAATGAATATTAAAAATAGTTAATATTATTTTTATAACTACCTATATAAACTTATTTACTTTTATGACCATTATACAATAAATAGGTCACTGAGCTTTTGGTATATTTGGTCTTTCTAGAAAAAAATAAAAAAACTCAAAAAATTGAAAAAAGCCAATAAAATCTTTTTAAGTTTGTATAACTCCGAAAAAACTTACCTGAGACCCGAAAAATCGTTATGTTTGTCTAGAGGTGTGCTTCTTTTGTGTATACAACTTTTTTTAAATGAATATTAAAAATAGTTAATATTATTTTTATAACTATATAAACTTATTTACTTTTATGACCATTATACAATAAATAGGTCACTGAGCTTTTGGTATATTTGGTCTTTCTAGAAAAAAATAAAAAAACTCAAAAAATTGAAAAAAGCCAATAAAATCTTTTTAAGTTTGTATAACTCCGAAAAAACTTACCTGAGACCCGAAAAATCGTTATGTTTGTCTAGAGGTGTGCTTCTTTTGTGTATAAAACATTGAAATATGACGATATTTTAATTTTTGAAATTTTTATGATAGAAATCATAAACGTGATGGTCAGGGACAAGCGGTACGGTCGTGAATTGTCTGGAATAATCTAAATCGTTCTAAACAATCCTTCAATTATCCTGTTAGTTATAATAAAAATATGTGTTTCAATTGAACTTAACTGTTCAATTTACAATTATATTAAAGTTATTGTCACAACCAAACACACTATAATCCATAAGGCTGGATTGGTCGTGAAAAAACTCGCGATGGTCGTGAAACTTTGGTCGTGAAATTACGTGTAATTTGGCTCTGTTCTGGCGGTAGCCCTGCACCTCATGTTCGAGGATACAAAGTGGACTTCTAGGTTAATCTAGCAATTGAAATATCTTATAAACAAAAATTAACACCATGTCTACTTCATCGAATGACTACGTACGGTCATGGACACACCAAAATTACAAAAAACACAATCTTTCCTTTATTAATCTTGTAATTCCTCCTTTCAACTCAAAACGACCGGCACTACAATCCTGACGTACACCCCGAACTAGTCTCTAAAACCAACTGACTCCATCGACGCCAGGCTTGCCACTGTCGTGCTCCAAAGTTGAAAATTTTTCCCAAATGGTCGTGACGCCAAATCGAGGGACAGACTTATTTTGTCATGGTAGTCAGTTTGTAATGACAATAAAATTATAATATGCTCCTTTTTTGTAAGTTTAATAACCATTGATGACATAAAAATATGGCTTTATATATTTCGGCATGAATAATTAGTCTAAAAACAGTGTGAAAGTTGGAAAATGCACCCTAGGGACACGTCATGGTCGTGAATTTCGAGACTTTAAAAATACGAAAAAAATACCTAGAACCTATTTAAAACCAAATAAATGTGGGTAACATGTTGCCCCCGTCCCAAAAAATATTAAAACACATAATAATAAACTACAAATCCAGTATCTACGAAGTAAAAGGCCAGGGACATGAAAACGTACGTTTTTAAATTTTCACTCAGTCATAACTTTTTTGGAAAAATTATTTTTTCAACCAAGAAAACTTTTTATTGGTGGAATGTAATCTTTGGAACATCCATTCAACAAATTATTCTTTGTAAAAGAATGCAAGAGATCATATATTAAAACAATTCTATATTACAGACCATAGATACATTTTTTACTCGGATTAATAGGAAACATTGTATCGGTAACAATATACACATATGTGTTTGGATGAATACAGTATACAACTTGGTTGGCTGTGGTTTAAGATTATCTACCTTTTCTTAGAAATATATTAAATAAAAGGTTTGGTTTTAATGGTAACACAAACTGACTAGAACTGTAAATCTATTCCAATTTCAAGTACAAGTATTGGCTCGGAAACTACACAACTAACTAACCATGATGAATGAAATAACTGAAATCTATTGTTTGACATAATTAAAATATAAAAATCACTAAAATCTAAAATAGACTAGATTGAAACTGGTCATCATTCGTAAATAATTGAGAATCTTGTAATGACTAAAACTCATTCAAGTAATATAACAGTGGTAATACTATGTACATATATGTTAGGTACACAATTTATCTCTAGCATATATACCATACCTGGTGTAGTATTCCACTATTATACTTCCCTCTCATTTTGATAGATTTTTCTAAATCTTCTTTAATCTAACAAAAACCAAACGTTTTAACACGTATCTCCTCAATACCTTTTTTTAATGCTAAATCTGATATATTATGTAACAAAATTGTCACCTATGACACTATACCCCTACATAATATACCAACGGTAAAAATAAATAAAACAGAAGGTATTATAACCCGACATTATAAAATATACATATCTTTTCTTTGATGAGTTAAGTAATAATAGACAGACGATCATTGGACTAGAACTTACTTACACATTCTCATAAAAATAACAAAACTGCCGAGATTTTAAAATCGTCATTTTGTGGTCTATGGTAACCCAATCAATATAAACTTAAAACTACCCAACAGTTATACTCACAATTAACAAGAACATTTATTCCGCTTGAAATGCCTACTCTGTAAAACATTAAACTCTTAAATTTTGGAGAATAGATCCTAAGGATAACACAACCTTCATTGTTATTTTGTATGGCTCAATTCATGACTTTTCAAGTCGTTCAAGGTTTTACATGTAAACACACATAGTTCACAGTGATAAGGGAGTTCTTTTGGGTGAGTCTTCAAATGCAAACGAAGCCGATAGCGCTGTGAACACCGGTAATCACAATACGGGCAACAAATAGGTCGTTCCCCTGTGTGCCTCACAAGGTGGTTCAACAAATGAGTCCTCTCCTTAAAACTGCTGTCACAAAACGAGCATGTGTATGGTCGCTCTCCTGTGTGCGTTTTCATGTGTATCAGAAGGCTAGTTCTGTGGCCGAACCCTTTTCCACAAATATCACACTTCAGGGGTCTTTCTGTTTCATGTGTAATCTGATGAATCTTCAAGTAAGATCTTCTTGATGCAGAAAAATCACAAATGGCACATTTGAAGGGTTTCTCCTTAGTATGTAGTCCACGGATGTGAATCGTTATTTGGTTCTTCCTTGAGGACCTATAGTCACAGTGCGGACATGCATAGGGCCGTTCGCCTGTATGGGTCATTTCATGTACTCTGATTATGCTTGATTTAGCAGCTTTGTAATCACAGTAGGAGCATTTGAACTTGTTATCTATAGGTTTCTGTTTTTTGGGCTTGCTTTCAGTCACAATGTACTCTTCAGATTCAACTAACGAAACTTCCAAACAGTTCTCATCAATTATAAAGTCATTAAGCTCTTTCGGAGAAGAATTTTTGGTCAAATCAATGGCTTCACTACAAACGTCTGGTTCATCAAAAAGCATTTCTTAAGGAAGGTGCGATTCAAGCCAATGTCACTGTAATTTTCTTGATCATGATTGTTCCCTAAAATCAGAAAGTAATAGATAAAACTAAGAAAATTAAATAGAATTCTTAAACAAAGTAATTACATTAATGAGTTGAAAGACAATCTGAGTATTTGCATTGGCATTAGACATAATGAAAAAGTGAGTCACATAAAATAGTTAACATAGTACCAGTATTTATCATAAAAACATGTATAAGCAATTAAAAGACAAAATTTATCATAGATGTTGTTGATTTAATAAGTGTTTAGTAGTTAAAGTTTTACTTTTGTCTAACTCTTTGAAGGCTAAATTCAATTGTTAACTCATAAATAAATATATTTTGTAAAAGAAGAAAAATACATTAGTAGGCCCTGTCTATGCCTCTCACCTGTATAAAGAACCTACTGTATGAGTGGCTAATATAAGCACTTGACTAGACTATGTTAGGGTGTTAAACAATTTGATGCAGGGTATGGACATTTAAAAATAGAAGTACGTAGATATAGCCTACATTTTTGTATTTTTGCTCTGTAGAAAGGACACCCAACCACTAGCAAATTCAGCTTTGGCTTATTTTGATATTTAAAATAAACTGCAGTTCCGTACAGAACTTTCTGTTGCATAAAAATTGATGAGTGAAGCACCTATCTGCGTGATCATTTTCATTTTTGGTTTAATCCCAGTTCTTTGCCTTAAAAATAAGCTCTAAAATCATTCTACCTAGCTATCTATCAGAATACCTAGCTTATTATTTTTGTTGATTGTTGCTGACCTAACCTTACTGTCCTAAACATATTCTTTAGAGGCCTACAGGTAAATGAGGCTAAACTTTATTTTAAAAAATCGACACAAAACTAACTACACCACCACCCCCTAGATGGTAACATAGATATTTAATTATATATTTAACCTAATAGTATGTGAAACTATGATTAATGCAATTTTCAGCCTTTATAAGCTTTTAGAGTCAATTATCTTACCTTTAATTTAACTTAAATGTATGAAACGATGAAACCTATAAGGTTTGTTGAACCCTGAAGAAATTATTAAAGTTCATCAAAACAATCAGTTAAGTTACAGTATGTAGTAACAATTTGAAGGCATAAGTGTATTCTGTCATCAAATCGAAAGGATTAGAAGTTTTGCATTGATATCAACTCTAAGCTATAAAGTTAATAATTCTAGTACCGAAAAGGCATTTTCTTACATTTCTTGACGATGTTTACACACTGACATTCTCGTTTGACAGCTAACAGCAGACGACTAACGTGAAGCTAAAAAACATTCTCGCTCAGCTGGACATATCGCGGCCATCTAAAAACACAGAGTAGTATATGTAGCATTATTGTCCCTTCTTCTATTATAGTCAATATGTGAGTTATATAATTCATAACCCACAACTTAAACATACTACCATAGACTAACCAACGTTTTATCTATGATACTACCTAGTCAATGTGTCAAAATGGCCATAAATTTCCTGCGATGTAGTAGTTAATGATAATGCCTCACTAACTCAATTACAATCATTATACACATAACTTTTAAAAATAAATCACAAAAACTGTTTATGAACTTCAACGATTAATTAATCAACTATGACTAAAAAAAACTCTAAACAAAATGTACTTGTGTTGATTAGTCTATGATATTATCATGGACTAAGCAACACAAATGTTGCTCTGATCCTGCCATAGATTTAAGTTAGTTGTTAAGTTTTCTGTTAAAATGCATGTTGTTACCACATAGGCTTCTTGTCATTGTAAATTGGTGATTTATGCCGTTGGAATAAATAAATAAATAAACACAGGTATAGACTTCTCATACTATTGTAAATTTTCAAGCTAGTTTTATTTTCCTACAGTTACCTAACAATGTACATGTTCTCTCACTGATTTGAGAAAGCAAAGTGGCCAATTCGCTCATCAGTTACTTTGTCTCACTCCAGATTTGCAACATGAAGGCACGAAATAGTGGGCGCGTAACATGCAGGCAACGTCGTATGCGCGCGAAATACGTTGGCAGCACTGGGTGTAAACATGTGTAAATCAGCTGGTCAGCTGTTGTACTGTTGTAATTTGTCACTTCACATGAAATGTTATATTAAAAGTTCACTTCTGTGTAAAAATAGGTTATGTTTCTTCACCAATTTATTTGTTTTATGGTAACTGTAGGAAAAGTATAATGTGCAACTCGAGTTCAAAGTACAATTGCCTCACTCGAGAAACCATTCCTCACTCGCCTACGGCTCGTGAGTAAGGATTTCTCTCGAGTGAGTCAATTGCTCACTTTTCCCACTAGTTGCACAAATAACTACTATATTGTAGTTATTTGTATAGTAGTACTGGTATTGTCTAGTTGACAGTTGACAAAATTAAATTTCTATTATTTAAGGGTTATTTTTATGACTGTGCTCTTCCGTTTGGTTTATATAACTAGGGAACGAACTATCGTTTATGATTACATCGGTTTATAAACGAGGTTTTAAATGACATCTAACAGTGCACCACAAAAAACTAACAATAAAATTGCCGTTGGTCCTTAAGGATGAGTAATCTACCAAGGTATGTTATGTTTAATCTATGATTTTAGCCAGATTCTATCTTTGGCATCTTTTTCTTCTTCTTCTTTTCTATCTCATTCTCTGATTATCTTCTCTAGTTCTCTTCTGCTTCTCTTCTCTTACATTTTGTTTATCTATGGTGGTCTGTCTGCTGGCCATATTTTCAAAGTAATTTATGAACGTTTTGAATAGTGTTTATAGCATAACTATTTAAGTTGAACTAGAAATTCAAGATGAAGTTACTAACTCATAACATGCTTACTTCGAAATGTATTAAAGGTGTAAATGTTGGATATCCTTTGACAATAGCGGTAAGAACATGCACTTTTTTAGGTTAGATTTTTAACATGGTCTTGGTTAGCCTAGTCTTTTTAATATCTCCTCTTTTTGTTTACTTTTTGATGATAGCACATAATTATGAACATCCTCATAATCCTAACAGAAATATTACTTCAAAGGCATCATGATTTTATACTCAAATCTCCTCTGTACAGTAGGCCTACCCAATAAGTTGCACCCCCACACACATGATGGAGAGTAAAGAAAGGGGGTACTCTTCCATATCTGTTGGCACAAACAACCTAATGAAAATATCGATCGGTATATCGATTATTTGATTTATCGTTTGGTTAGTTATGTAGGGCCTAAGGTTAACCTAACTAACCAAACGATATATCGAATTAAACAATCGAATAATCAATATTACTCATTCGGTTGTTTGTGCCAACAGATATGGAAGTGTACCCAAGAAAGGCACCAATTTACTTAGATGAGCATCGCCAGGCCAACCATCGATGTACCGATAACATCATAACATCTGTAACCTAACTTACCATCGATGTAACTTAAAACATCGAACATCGATTGGAAAACTTGAATGTTTTGAAAACATCGACTAACTTATAGATGCTTATCCCTACACCAGTTTTAGGGTGCGGTGAGGAAAGAGAATGCTAGTAGGAATGAGCATCAATAGGTCAGCTGTCGATGTTCAACCATCTATATTTATCATCGATGGTAACATTGATATAATTCGATATAATCTAGGCCTAATATCACCAATATTATTACACCAATATCATTGCTGAAAAAATATTGATGTTTTCAGGTGAAAAACTATTAAGTAGTGCTACTTAAGAATTTAGCGTTAAGTTAATGTACTTTAATTATAGGCTAAATATTTAGACTCAAGTTTTACAATAACTATGAAACAAGTCTTCAGCTGTAAGCCTACCTTTAAAATAGCTGCCAGCAGCCACAAAGAACACAGAGAATAAAACATTTATTTTTTTTTAAGGCCAAAGATGTGAAGGTATCAGAGCTGGACTTCAATCAAGAGTTTGTTGCAAGAATCATCCCCAAAATCGATTGGAACACACTCTACAATGCAGCTGAAGGTGTAAGTAGGTCTATTGGTTTGGTTTTTGAAGATTTTCTTATGATTATCTAGTTGAATTTTTTATTTTAAAATTGTGTCAGTAGACCTAGGATTTCTTGCTTTAAAGGTTAGTTAGAAATAAGTTTCAGCTTTGATGTTGAAATTTTTTCCAGACCATCAAGATTGATTCTATTAAGGTACCTACCTATGTTAACACTGTATACAGGTATACAAATAAAAATATCACAATTTGAACTAACCATTTTCTTTAACAATTTCTATAAACACAGGTAAAAACCGATGGAGAAGTAGAATTAATATGTAAAACAATATTGGATTACATTTTAAAGTGTATCCTTGAAAAATCTCAAACTCAAAACATCACTTACCATGAATATTGGTACTGCATGCTGTGTGTTGTTATTAGGTAGGCTACTAGCATTCCCACAGGACCTATTGTATTTATTACTGATTGATATAATAAATCTCATGAATCTCTCTTGAACACTACAAACACTGTTCCCCAACGCTGTTGTCTGTCTCCTAAAAAAATGTGGACTTAAAAATTGACCATAACTTTTTACTTGAGAAATATTTTCATCGGATTTATTTCTTTCAGTTGGGCCATGCTGGAGATTTACCAAAAAGTATCATTGATGATTATGAAAACAATGAAGAGTTTTTGAAGAAAGTTCACCATGTTTTGCTTGAGGTAAACTTATGCATACCGGTACCGGTAGGCCTACCTATATAAAATTTGACCTAGTTGAGGTTCTCTGATAAATGTATAAATCCGGCCTTGGATAAATTGTATACAACCTTTGACAACAACTTCTGTATCCAATAGTCAATGATACAACTTTACTAGTGATGGGTTGCTTCCAAAATTTCTGTTTCAGGATAGGCTATCTGCATATTTTGTGGTCTTTGTCAGATTTTTTATAACCAGAGATGCCTTGGTTGGTTAGGATTTAGACCATGTTTAAGTTTAAGTAGGCTATAGTTCTTAAGGCAATATTGGATGGTTAACAACCTATCGATATTAATAAATGAAAATTTAGAGCCATAGCTACATTAGAATCTCGATTATCCAACCTAAACCGGCCGCAGCAAGGTTGGATAAGCGAAAAGGTCGGATAACACGGAAAATGACAAAAACAATGTTCGCTCTGGAGCTGTGACCGTGGGATGTGTTGACGATCGCGTCGAGAGCGTTGGTTATGTTGACGATTTTTTCGTGACTGCGGGCAATGTTCGCGCTGGCGCTGTGACCGCAGGATGTGTTGATGATCGGGCCGAGAGCATTGGAAATGTTGACCAAATTGTTCCGTGGTCGCGGGAGATTTTCAAGATGACACCGTGCCCAGGAAGGCTGGATAACCGAGACTCCTACTGTAGTTTTAGATATTTTCCATTGTAGAATGTACAAAAATGGTTGTCTTAATTGTTATTAATTAATTATGTATTAGCATTTATGCAATGGTCGTTAATAGTTTTACTGCTGACATGTTTTGTTGCAATGCACCATAAACAAAACATCAAAATTCAACACAAGATTCAGAACATATTCAAAACTTGAGATATTTACACAAAATATTGACTTAATTTGGACTACTGACAGGGTAAGCCTAAAAAGGCAAATATAGGTAGTCCAGGGGCTATCAGAATTGAATATTAATGATTGAGTAAAAATGTTACTTAGACAGATTGAATTGTCATATTTACAAGGGTTTTAGTTCTTCACATACAAAACATGGCTTAATTCCTGTGTTTTAAACTATAATACTTTTTCATATTATCTGTTAACTTCTAGTCGTCTTGATTATATCCTCGTTATATCTCGAGAATATCCAAAAATCAAGTCTCGCAATCCGGCCCTGTCCATTAATGGCCTAAATGTAGGGCTACCTACTAATATTTTACAAAATACCTCTGTATTTTGAACTGATATGTAGTTGCAGTATTGATTAAACTGAAATCATTTTTTATAAATCTACAGCTAAGAGATCATCTAATTGTATACAAAGTGGTGAACTCTTTATATTTTAGAGCGGCTTAAAGTCCTATAATTCCAAAACCAAAATAAAATTGATTTACACAACTATTTGAAACCAATTTACATTTTTATGACCACAGGTGGAGGTTATAAACGGAGAGCTTATTTGTCCTGAAACTGGTAGGAAGTTTCCAATAAATTCCGGAATCCCGAACATGTTGCTGAATGAAGACGAAGTATGACCTCCGGCTCCTCTGCCTTTTGCGCAGTCATGAATTCAACTGATTCATGAACTCTACAAACTCATGAACTCAAAAAGATTGTGAATAGAGTGTAGTGATTTGGGTGATGTGTATATAATTTACAATTTTTGTTATGATTTAGATAAATAGGCTATTAGTTTTTATCCAGACTTACCGTATCGGTATTTAGTTTGGAAACAAATAAGATTCTGTTTATGATTTGATTTTAATTTTATTTTTTACCTTCTTAAGTAGCTTATACATCTCAGCGTTAATTTTTGGAGTGTGTAACTTTTTAAAGATCTTTGTTTACTAATTTTGACAGAAAACATGAAAGGTAAGTTTGAGGTTCCCATTATATTTCATGGACTTCTCAAATAATAGTAGTTTCTTAACGATTGCGCAGAGATGATCTTTAAGACATGAAGGCTCGTACCAATAAAACTTCTACGAGTGTCTTAAAGGCTAATTAGCCTACGCGAGTTGAGTACACTACTTTACCTACGTCTCTGAATGACTAACAATCACTACTCATAATGTCTATGAGAGGTTATGTTTTTGTTAAAAACTTCTCATTGCCACTGATTTTGCGACTTATTGTCCCAATTACTAACTCATTGGGAGTGAGCTGGTATAGTGGTTAGAGCGTGGGACTTTGGTCCTGATTTCAAATCTCGCTAAATCAACAATGGATTTTATCTAAGTGATAATGCTGCAACCCCTAGGTCTAGCCTGAAGTAATGTGAAAACATTCCCAAGCTCGTACCTAGCGTTCAATAATAATAAAAAAAAACCCCACTAATTGTATGTATAATCAATCAAGTTGGCCTTAACAGCTGATAAGTTTATGTCCAAATCATTACAATTTTACTTCTTTTCTCTCAATCCTTGAACCCTATTGGTCCAAACACGTAGGCCTGCTGTAAAGTAACAAAACAATGCTGTTAGGTAAGTCAACAATACTGTAAAGTGAATCTTTTCAATTCTAAGAACTGAATTGAAAAGGCTAGTTGAAAAAAACAGTCTTAGGTAAAATATATAAATGCACACCAGTTATATTAATTAAAACATCATAATCTTCAGGGTCCAGCCAAAGTACACTAAGTTAGCAATGTGACTAGCCCTGAACTTCATAAATAGTGTTTTTAAGGAGTATCAATCCAGTTAAACAATTTAATGCTCTTTTAACGACAAAATTGTAGGCCTATAACTAACTTGAGTAATTGAATAAGTTTTACTTATTAATGTTCTAATACTATCAAATAACTCAGGATGATTTGAAATGCCTTTGTTACTCTCGACCTATAACTATTTTTTCTGGAAGGTAAAAAAATATAATTCAATTAACGGTAGTAAAACAAAATATATTTACAATTTAACCTAAAAACGTATTACGGTTACATGATATGTTGCAGCAAAATAAATTTCAATAGACCTACTCATAAATTATATAAATTCAAATTTTTTACTAAAATATTAGCCTACTGATCAGTTAAGTCCAATACAAATATTATAGTAAAATAGTTTAGTGTACAATATTATTGAACATGTATATATACATTTACAGGCAAGTTATATACTTACAGAGAATATGTACATTCTTACAACATTAACTGATCATTAATATGTATATTGATTATGACTAGTTCTACATTCATACTATAACATCCAGAATCAAACATTTTTGGCTCATTAGATAATTTTTTAATTGTTTACTTAAACTAATGTCAATATTGTTTTAAATATATAAAACTAACCACGTGCTAATAAAACTAAACCCTGTCCCCTATCCAAATCATTCCTAAGTAGTACAAATAAAAAATATTCACTAATATTTTTGGTGCATTGACTTTAACTAATCCTGTGATGTATATAAAAAAATCTCACGTTTTTCAATAAAAGAATACAAGTATATGGAACATAATATCAATGCTATCCACATAAGACAAAGTATACACTATCTTCTAGCACAAACATAAAAGACAATTTGTATTCTCATTCTCATAAGACCATTTGCCATCTAGAAGCAATATCCAAATATCAAATGGTTGGAACATTGTATTTATTTTTAATTTCTGTTTCTTTTGGCAAAGGTTCTTTTTTTAATTTTGCTTTGTAGCCAAGGCAATGGTAGCACATATATACATTCGGTACCAATTAGAGTAAAATATAATCCAAACCCATTATAAATGATGTGTGTTGTGTTCATTGAAAAACATTTGATATAATAAAAAAAAAAAACTGTTAGTAAGAATTTGTGAAAAAAGTAGTTATTTTTATCCCTTAGGTACGAAAGAACCAGCCGGAATCAAGGACTTGGTTAATTTCCTCAGTTGTAAAAATAGTTGAATACCACAGTAACAGCTTGGCTTTAACTCGGTTAGATTTGAGCTTGTGTGGAAAAGTCTCTTTAAAGCCACATTTACACGAAGCCAGTTGCTGGGTACATTACCTGCTTCAAGTTATTTGAAATACAGGGTGTTTTTAAAAGAATGCCGGGATTTTAAATGATAATTGCTTGGGTACTTACTATTCAAGGTAACTAAACGTTTTATATGTCAAATTGAAGCTTAAATAACTAAGTTTTGTTTCCCGAGTGGCAAGGAAGGAAACTTTTCCTTGGCCTGCGCAAAACAGGAACGCGGTGCTAGGCCGCTATTGTGACTCATACGCTTGACGCCAGTCGCCAGTACGACATTTACGGCACAACGGTTTGCAGAGATTATCTACATTGCTAAATTAAACTAAATTAATTAAATTTAAAGCTGGTTTAATGAGTTTTGAGACACAATAGCGTTTTGAAAAGACATTCACCTGGCCGGCTAAAAACAACGATCACTTAGTCGAAGAAATCCGACAATTCTGCATCAGAAGCCCGAAAAATTCGATTACCCCTCGAAGTCTTCAGCTGAACAAACCTAAATAGTTCACGTTATGATGTTATCTGTAAAAGAAAGAGTCTTTGTGCCTAAAAAGATCTAGCTAAGACATCAGATAAACCCGCCGATCGCCTTAAGCGTACAGACATTGCCAGTTTTACGCTCATATAAGATTGATGAAAATATGAATTTGATTAAATCATTCTGAATCGTATGAAAGAAAGGGGAAATCTTTGTTCTTTCCCCTTCAATTTGACGTTTAAATCGTTTAATTATCTTGATTAGTTCCCGAGCAACAACCGTTTAAAATCCCGGCATTCTTTTAAAAACACCCTGTACAATAGAGGCAAGAGTAACCTGCCTGCTCTACTGGCCTTGTGTAAACACGGCTTTAGGACCAAGTGATGAAATGTAGGCATACTATTAACTAAATGTGTACTAAAGAATACAAAACATTCTTAGGTGTGTGTGTGTTTTACATAAACAATACATACCTAACATATTTGATCAAATTGACAGTATGACATCAGAAACAGATACACATTTCCTGGGAAGAAAATAATTGATTCATTCTAGTTTTCAGATTATTTTATAAATATCTTTGTAAAACAAGATTGGTTTGAGATATATTTGACAACAACAAAACATTAGAATTCTAAGTTATAAAAGGAAGGTTGTTTGAGGGAACCTATGTTTTTATGTAAATAAATCACAGACTAAAAGTTATAATACGGGAATGTTGCTGAAAGTCAACAGTCCCGGAAGATCAAATAATTTATACCTGTGCCGCTAGGTCAAAAACTACAATGTTTGCAGTGTCTGTAGATCAAAAGTCCCAGTAAGTCAAATAGTACAGTCCGAGCTAAAAACGTGGTCTATGTTAAAGCAATTGACTTATTGGGAATTTGACCTAATGCAACAGCAGTTTTAATATAACGAAATACGGTAAAATACAAGTTCAGTTTCGCTGAGTCAACAGTGCCGGAAGATCAAAAGCAATAAAAGTGAACGTCGATTCAGTGTAAAGTAGACCTCCTGCAACGCTTACTACACCAACAAAACTTGCTTTTAGTTACTTCGTGTTTTGTCATAATTAGAATAGAGCTAAAATTATCATATTTGGTACATAGCTTATCTATTAATGCTTCTTGCCAACTGTTTGGTCAACACTGTACATAGGTATAGTTTATGTAATAAAAAGCCTTTCGTCAAAATGTGTGGCATAAAATACACGCAAGGACGATCTGAAAATTTCTGGTTATTATATGAGTTTGTAAAGGGAGATCCATTTAATTTTAGAACTATTTTATAAGTTATAATGTAGTCTACACATAAACTGTGTAAATGTATTACGCCTCGGAAGGGTTGAAACCTAACCTGTCCAAACTATCATATATATTATTAAAACGTAAATATGGTTTTTTCACATTCTGAATCAACCAGTCGACGGATTTTCATTATTTTTGTGTTGAAAGAAAGATAATTTTGAGAACTAGGGAATGTCAAAGCCATAATTATAATTAAGGGTCCCAGTTTTTTAGAAATTAAAGTTTTAATTTTTTTAAAGTCTAGCAGCCGACGCTAACCTTCTAAGCCAGCTTTTAGTACAATATAATTTGCTTAGCATAACAGCTGTAAACATTCAGCATTTGTGACACAAATTCAGCATTTGGAAACAAATTTAAAGACATATTTAGAGTTGACTTATTTATACTATGTGTAATGCTGACCATTGATACATTCAATTCCTAGGTATGAGGATGGCAGATTATTTAAATTTGCATAGAAAAATAGTAGGATGTTCAAATTATTTTTTAAAGGAATCTTTGTAATCATCGATTTGTTTTAGTCCCATATAATTTGTTTTAACTAACAGCTGGTTGAATGTAATATTGTTCTATATAACTATTAGGTTTTTGGCGAATTTCCCATATAGGGAATAAGCTATTACCGTAGTACTTATGGTAACACCTGGACCCGGGACCGATTTAATTTTTCGTTTTGAGGTCCCTATAGGCCAAAAACACCATCCGTTCAAATTCATATATACAGGGTGATCAACTCAAGGAGGCCACCATTGGGAAATCGGAAACGGTAAGAATTAAAGCAAACTTTAAATGGGGGACATTCCTTTATTTATTGTGGCAGTTAAAAATATGATTTTAGTTTTTTTATCATGTTTTCGGATAGAATATGCAATTTAAAAACTTTTTTTAGCCTTGACACTTTTTCGATAAACCCACTCGTTTAGGAGTACAGCCTATGGAAAAATGACTTCCGGTGTACATTTTACATCATGTAGCTCCTAAACGAGTAAGTTTAGAGCAAAATTGCAAGAAGTAAATTAGTCTTAGAATTGCATCTTCATTCCTTAAAGACTATAAAATAAAAAGTTTTCCACTTTTCAAGTTTGCCGCCATTTTTTTAAATAATATAATTTATATTTTTAATTAATTTTATGGTCTTTTTGGAATGTGGATGCAATTGTAAGACTTTTTTACTCCTCGTATTTTTGCTTTAAACTTACTTGTTTAGGAGCTACGTGATTTAATATGTACACCGGAAGTCATTTTTCCATAGGCTGTAACTCCTAAACGAGTGGGTTTATCGAAAAAATGTCAAGGATAAAAAAGTTTTAAAATTGCCTATTATGTCCGAAAATAAAATATAGGGTGTTCGATAAGAAATTTCAAATTTGGCCGCCATTTTGGAAAATGGCGGCTGAATTTCAAACGACTAAAATCATATTTTAAACTGCCACAAAAAATTAAGGAATGTCTTCCATTTTAAGTTTTCTCTAATTTTTACCGTTTCCGATATCCCAATGGTGGCCTCCTTGAGTTGATCACCCTGTATAGCCTATATTTATTTATTTATATATTTTTCCTGGGGGGAACCCCAAGACCCCCTCCTTTTTGGGGGGTATTCCATACCCCCCAGGCCCCCGGTGACCCCCCCCCCCAAATATATGTCTAGGAGCGCCCTTGTCTTCTTTACCTATAAAACACATGGGATACAGCCTTTTCTTCACTGATCACGTAATGCGTGATTTTCTATAAAGTGTTGGAAAAATAAAAGGTAAAATAGATAGAATAAAGGTGTACTGTATGTGGTTTACACACAAATATTCATCAAACTGTGTGATATTTTGTTATTGCAATGAACAATTTGGGAGTATCGTATTGTTTAAGTCGATGGAAAATCTCTGTTGATCCTGTTTTACAAGCAAACCAAAAATTTACATTAGTCACCACTCTATGCGACATATTCTAACCAGAAAATTGTAATCGTATGATTCTATAAGCATTGATAGGATTGCAAAGTACTTCTCAAACATTATTTCAAGGGTAATAACAGTCACAATTTCCGCCGACTTTAAAAGAGTCAACTAAACTACTATACTAATGGACACACAACTAAATGAAACAACTAATGGAACAACTCACGATGTACATATAACAGTTCGATATAAGCATTGAGTATACACGTCAGTGGATACGTGTATACCGTACCTAATGATATAAGCAACGGTTCTTGCAATTTATTGCTTATTGTTTTTTAGAGTTGTTTTCGGACTTACTCTGTTTTCGGACGTACTCACACTCGTATAGGGTTGTCCACGTTTGTCATTGATAATGTAGCCATGTTACATGGTTACACCAGTTGTCAAGAATATGGTTACAAGTTTTCCGTCTGTTTTTGAATAGCGATACATTTTTTCACATACTAAGAACCACCTGATTTCGTGCATTACATGTTCGTCTCAATTTTAATTGCTTTAGTAGGCATTATTTCGGTTGATGAGGACTTCAATCGGTCCTTTCAATGATAGCTCATGAAATATAGTACTTTGTCCATTAATTTTATTGTTTGGTAAAATGGATTAAATTATCCTGCAAACCCAAATAGAAATAGTAAATATAGTATTTGAAACAAATCAGTAACATGTTAATAATGTAACCTACATTATTTCCTTGAATTGCATAACAGCAATTAACTGGGCTGATCCTAATATAAATAAATCAATATGTTCTTCATAGGCATAACATGGGTTCATAACATGAGCCGCTGGGGCTGAGCCCAAGGGATTTAAAAATGTAAGGTTGGTTTGCAAATGTACGTGACACGCTCTTTCTAATGAGACATGAATGGTCAAAATCACCTAAGAAATTCGGAGGAGTTCAACGGAAAAATTTCGTGTTGGCGTTATACAGTATGGTTGAAAAGTCCTGGATTGGCTATATTTTTTTAACAATATAGATAAAGTAGTGAGACTTGGTATATCAATAATATAATAGCCATAAATATCTACTGTCTTAAGCTATTATCACTGTTTAATCCCTTAAGGGGGATGGACCACAAAGACTAAGACACAATTCTTATATAATTTTAATACTATTTTACCTGTTTTTGAAATGGCGACCATACAAATGTATGCATTTTAAGCCAAGTATGAATGGAGTAGAGTGTGTGATGAGTGGAGCGATCTTGTTGTCCTGTTAGTGACTAAGGCCGACGTAATCCTTAGACACAGCTGTTATAGTATATTTCGTACCTAGGGCCGAAAACCATTTCGGTCCGTGGTACGAACGCTATTTTTCACCACACTATACCCTATCACCACTATTCACCACAATAATAATGCACACTGATAGTCAACACAACTACAACTTTAAGGTTATGTGAAGAAATAATTTGAGGAATCAGAAAAAATAAAAATAAATAGTTGCTAGGCAATGTTGACAATAACACAATTCTATTGCAATGCTTTGGATTTTGATTGTGTATTTAAAATGCATTCATGTTTTAAGTAAGTAAGCGGACGGCTGATTTTGCGGCCCCGGCCTGTAAAAACCTGCTCGGTCCCCAAATTACGATGACAGCTGGCATGGCCAGCAAAACGTAACTTTCAGCCACCAATTAACGTATGTAATACAGCCAAAAACATCATAGTGTGGTGAAAATTAATAGTCCATACAGTCAATTAATAGCAGCAGAGGTCAAGTTTGGTAGGTATCAAATTAAAGGTTTTAATTATAAAAATACATTGCCGCAAACCCAAACTCAAACGATGATGATGATAATAATTTTAATGATGTAGCTAAAACGTATCGTTTGAAATTTAACAGCTGAAAATAAGTTAAATAGAAAAGGTTTTGGTTAAATCCATCAAATTGTTATTGGACACTAGTAAGTACTAGTGCACTTTTTTATATTGATTATATGATTATATTGATTTACTTTGGATTTTAAAAATGTGAACGTTTTATTTTATTAAAGATTTATGGTGATACGTAAATATTGTGGTGTAGTAAAGTATTTTATATTGTAGTTAAGTGTTAAATTTTGAAATTTTAGGGTGAATCGAGATGAATCTTTTTTTATAACATGGGTCTCTCCTACCTACATACCAAGTTGGATACATACCAAGTTTCATAAACATCGGTTGGAAAAGTGTAAAGATAAATATATGTATGTAAAAAATACAAAATGGTGGATATCTGGTTAACGAAACGATTTTGGAAAAAATGTTATCCTTCATTTTCTGTTTATTTTGACCCAAGGAATTACTAGGTAAAGTATCTCCCCGCTTATTTTTAACACCCTGTTTATGATGTATTCTTATAAGTGAAAAATGTAAGCTGGTAATACAGAAAGATGTTTTATAAATAATATGAATGTACTGGTGATCTGTATATTCATCTTTTTCTTGTTCTTAGAACTGTAAATTAAAAGTCCACTCAGCAGTCGCATCGTACGATGTAGTTCTTTCCATGCGTTGCGAAATGTTAAATTTGCCGTCCTCTTCAACCCAAGTTATCTATTGAACCACTGATTGTAAAAAATTCAAAAAAATATATTTTACGCATCACACTTTTGGCTACAACTTTGCCACAGACAAAACCTCCTTAACCCAAAAACAAAACAAAAATCTCGCATGCTAACTTTTTCATGCTAGAAATCACGATTTAAAACTATTTCACCATACATATCAATTTTTATTAATTAGATCGGTAAATAGTTTAAAGTTCCAACAAAATAGTCATCGAGTAGGACTAACCAAGAAGCTCTGTGCCAATTTTCAAAATTTTAGCACAACTTAAAGTACACCAAAACACGAAATTATTGAAGTCATGCGTCGAGAGGACTATCACTGTTTTTAACAGATTATACTTTTGACCTTCCGGCACTGTTGACTCAGCGAAACTGAACTTATATTTTATCTTATTTCGTTATATTAAAACTGCTGTTGCATTAGGTCAAATTCCCAATAAGTCAATTGCTTTAACATAGACCACGTTTTTAGCTCGGAATGTACTATTTGACTTACTGGGATTTTTGATCTACAGACACTGCAAACATTATAGTTTTTGACCTAGCGGCACAGGTATAAATTATTTGACCTTCCGGGACTGTTGACTTTCTGCAACGCGTCCTTATAATACCATAACTTAGCTTCTAAAGTTATTCAAAATAAATACTATATAAAATATTAATATATTAAAAATTTATAATATTGTGCTTTTTTAAGAATTTATAAAATATAGGCCCTAATATTTTTAAATTTCAAAATAGCCTATTAACAATTTCAAAATAAAGTAAAGAGTTTATTCGGAACTATGTGCATAGTTTCAATAAGCTAAACAAAATGAGAATTACTTCTCGTTCTATGTAAAGCTATGTTTTGTTAGAAAAATGGAAGGTTTTAGATTTCTTATAATTGGTGGAGAGCATTGGTCATTTAATAAAAAATATAATTTAAAATTTAGGTTTAAATCCAACAATAACAAAGAGTATGTGATCCAATCACTCCAGAATAATTTAATCAGAACTGCACATTCTAAGACGTTAGGAAAGCTACGCACAATAACAATTTAGAATTGAACTTAAACATAAAAAATTTAATTAATAAAAGACATAGTAAAGCTTTGATCTACCATAATTTAGCACCATAAACAATAATTGAGCATTCCAGTCATAATTTAGACGTTTCTTACAGTACCATGCTGATTTTTACAAAATTAAAGTCAAAACTGACTACTTTGATCTCAGCTTTAAAGCTCGAACGTAAAAGATCCGTACAACCTATAATACTTGCGCACCTGTAATCACAATTAGCCTCCAGCTGTTTGTTAGTCGAACTTAGTCCAATTTAGTTGAGAGGTTTGCGTGGACGGTGCAGGAGTGAGCGTGAAGTCTAATGATCTGGTGGCATTGAACTCAGTTCCGTTGCAGTCGAGTGTCCGCGCAGGTGTCGTCTGCAGACTCAGGCTGTTAAAGTCTATCCCATAGTCTTTGAGCAGAGCAAGGTCATTGTGCTGGGGAGTGTAGTAGGGGTAGAGAGGATTGGTTAGGCTCAGTCCACGGTGTAGAGGGGGTTTAGCGCTTTCCGTCTCCTTCGACAACAACGGATCAAAATCATCCACGCTGGTCAACGAGTCAAGGCGGATCAGGTTCATCTCTTCAGTCTGTGAACAAAACCATACAATTCTTAAGAAGACAATTCTTAAGAATCAACTGCAGACAATTTTAGGTATGTTTTTATGTCCATGACCGAATTTCAAATAAGGACCAACTGTTGTTGTAGGTTGTGGCTTTTGGTGACAAACATTTATTTTTCTATCAGGCTAAACATAAGAAAAATAATAATGCAAAATAGTTTTTGTCATGTAACTGCTACTCCTTTTTAGTGCAATGAATATTGAATCTGAAAAAAGTCTCATTTGCCAATAAACACTGCAATATCTTATAGAATCTTGATTTATGACATAATACAGAGGATAGACGGACAGGGGCTTATAAATTGTGAAATACGCGTTTCACCCGGATATCATAAGCTCCCCATTGCATTAGGTTTCATTCCACAAGATAATAAGGTTGACTACACGAGTGCTGACAATTATTTTGCACGTTGGGTAACCGAGTGATTACAGTGCTTGCCTTCAAATCTGGAGGTCGCTGGTTTGATTAAAAGCCATATAGTTTCTGGGCCCAGATACCATTTGTCATTGGGCTAGGTATCAATTTATGATGCTAGCTAATAAAAGGTCAACATTAGATATTAAAACGTCCAGGTTAGCCTGTTCATTTTATAAAATTCCAAAAACAAGATTCATTACAATCATTCAGCATTACATTACATCTGCCAAAATGTGCAGAATGGTTTTGCCAAGCTATGTTCAATTTCAATCCCGAGGGGCTAAACATTTTCTATCGATGACATGATTATTTAATAGTGGTGTTAATTGTTAGTGAACAATAATATTATTAAAATTATTTGAATTATTCCATCAATGCTCACCTTGCTATGGGGGCGAGAAGAGGAAGGGGGCGGCAGTCTAACGGTATCAGCTGAGCTGATCAGTCTCACACTGTCCCCGTCAACCCCTTCCCCAGCTGGCGCAGCAGTGAAGGGGCTGGCACCAAAGAGATCTGGCGCACTGGCCTGCACCGCACTACCACCACTGTAGCTGAGCCCTTCACCATGGAAGTTCTCTAGGCTACGCACTGGCTTCAACTGGAGGCAAAACTTAACCCTCAGTTTTATACTTATCATCATATGGCTAAGTGTACAAAGTTGAAAACACAATTAATTATGGTTTGAATGGATTGTGTCATGAAGAACAGAGGGTTTCTGTATGTCGTTAACACAGGGTTGACCTAAAACAACTGAACCGACTGGGCTGAAATATTTCACAAAGAACTATCATATAGGCCTATAACGTCCTCAAGATCACTCGTTACTAAAAGATTTTCAACCAAGAAAGGATTTTGTTAAAATGGCTTAAGAAATGTTTATGTTTGGTTAACTATAGTGACAATGGAATACTCTAACTTTTGTGTAATTTGTCCCATCCAGATATAAGCTTGCTGTCCTTACAAACATGATCAACAGAGAATACCGGTAATTCTTCTTTAGGTGTTAAACCTTGCCTTTCTTTCCAATTGAAATTCAAAACAAAACCAATTGCAAGACTTAAAACTTAGTGTTAATAGCTAATTTTAAAGACATAAAAAAAAAAAATAATAATAATAAAATAAAGTAACTTACCGTACGATCTACCGTGGGAGAAACCGCAGGTGAGGTGTTGCCGTTGGTACAGTTGCGGAAGATGACATCCTGTAGATCTCCCATCAGGTCCATGTCCAACGGAGAGAGGTTGAAACTGGAGTTTTCTGGGGAAGAAGGACTTAACGGACTGTACTGGTTACGGCTGGAAATTGAAATATCAATACAAATCTTACCTCAAATTTTCTTGATAGATACCTATATTATGAAACATCTCCCATATAGGGCTTGATGTTTTTTAAATTAAGCGTAATAAATTTAACTAGGTCACTAGTGTGAAATAATAACTCCTTTACCTATCAGGTCCAGCGCTCAGCCTCTGTTTGATGCTCAGATCTCTCCTGTACGACGTAGCGGCTGAGGTAATGAAGGTGGTATGTGGTCGTGGTCGAGCTGTAGTGGAGGTGGGGGAAACTGACGACCCCCCTAACTCCCCTCCAACCTCTCGCGTGCCTCCCTCTCTGAACTTGGACCTGATACCCTTGTACGCCTTACCCACATTCTTCCCTCGCTCCTTCACCTGAAACAAGTTACTAATGTTACAGCTAATAAATGATGGTATCTAAGAAAAGGTTGACGTTAGAAAGTACCAGGTTTGGATTGTTCCCTACACAAATAATCCAATGCGTAGATAAAAAGAGTAGTTGTGTTGAGGTAAAACTAATACTGTGATAACCTGTGATGAATAACACCAACTGAATTAATAATAACACTTTAGGGGCAAACAAGCAGTGGTGTGGTTGTAAATTCTCCAGGGCATGAATGTCGATAGTTGTCACGTAAAAATATGGGTCACTTGCCAATATATGGATTTTTAGGAAAAATCAAAGTGGGAACGCAATTCCCATGCGTTACCGCCCACCACATACATACACAGGTTACTTTCATATGAGCAACAGGGGAATTACAATTAAAAAGCTTTTACTTTGAGCAAATTAGATGGATAAAAAATATTTAAAACTTATTTGAAACATCATTTGCTATTTTAAAATGGTTGATTGTTGAACTTAGACTTACGCCCTACTTCAAACGTAGTTTCATAGTACTTGGATTCCATAAAAGGATTTAACTGGAGAAAATACAAGACATATCTCTTAAAATATTCATCAGTTTTAACATTTTCTAAGGGTAAAATTGAGGTGTGTGCGAATAGTGAATTTATGAGTCAAATTTAAAGAAAAGTTGTGAGCCTCAAGCAATTTTGAGTAGAGTATTTTTATATAGTGAACTAAAATATTTCAATATGCTATACGGCCAGTTGACGTTGACAGTAAGAGTTACACAATAAATTGCAACAGTAAAGATTGTGCGTTGAGTCTGCCATAGGCCTACTTGAAAATAAAAACTCTACCAACCAACTCATTAAAAAGCTTGACTACTTCAAGTTTTCACTCAAGTCGAGCCGAATACCGAAATTGCCGTACACCTACAACTAATTTTGTTAGTTTTTTCAAATGTTTTTTAATTTTCTTTTTCTTGATAATACCTAAGTTTAGGGTTGCTGTACGTTTTCATTTCAGAGTCTTCTAAAGTAAAATCAAAGTTTGTTATTATTATTTTATAATCTTTTATTTATTTTATATTATTTCAATGTATAAAAATAATTCATACCTCAGCCAGGCGTAGCAGGAGACAGCTAGCACTGGATGCAATACAATTTAGCTTAATTATTTATATAAAGTAAATTAATAAATTTATTGTAATAACACCGACAATTCAAAAGCAGCATAAATAAGTAATCAAACCTCAATAAGTCTGGACTTGAGATTATATACTTTTTTTAGGTTTATATTAGGCACTCAATAACTGGAATATTTTACTGAATTCCTTTATACATGCAGGGGTGGAAGCAAAAACCCTCTTCACCAATTACATAAAAATATTTAAGTATTCAGCATCAGAAATGTTCAAAAATCTATATAGAAATATTTAAATCCAAACACCAGTCAAATTAGACACATGTTATCATAGATATTCGATGCAGGGCTGTTTGGTACAATTCAAGCTCAAACTGAAAATGCAGCGAAAATCACCAAAACCTTTAAACTGCACACAAAACCCTGTGACTCACTAGTTATAGGTTTGATGAAGAAAGAAGAAATATAATCCAGAACATATCTGCATGCTTCCCACCCCTGCAAATAACATAGATGATGAATATCTCAAAACAAAACTTATTAATTAACTATCATGCCCATAGACCTTTTTTATCACTCTGTATATGTAAATGGCGCATTTCTGTTCATCTCAGCTACACAAAAATGGTTGTATCGTCGATATCCAATCTATCAAAACAAGATTTTACCTGTACTAAACATTACTTTTCCTAACCCAAACAAACCTTTTCCTTTCCCAAACACATTTGCTATACGAAAATTGTCGATTTCCAAACTATTAAAACATAAACATGTAATTTTGCCTGTACATTACTTATCCCTACCCAAACAAATTTTTAATTTCCCCTATGAAAAAAACCAAGTTCCTGTTTGGCTTGACGAAAGCACCAATATAGAATGTATTCTTTAAAAGAAAATAAATTGTAAAACTAAAACCAGGAAACCTAGTAGGATTTCACCGTGATGTAAAGTATCATTCACTACTCGACACGAAAGATCCATTTCAGGGCTTGATGGTTGTTTTTCACACTCACACCTCTCCTTCCTCGTAAACGTATCTTGCCCCGAAATGGATCACTTTCAGGACTAGTTATGAAATATATGATTTATTTATGCCTATTCTCATGTTTTCCTTTCACCTGGACACATCACTTTAATAGTATTTAAGGCAAATTTCTGTTAACACACACACGGTAGGTAAAAAAAAAAAAAAAAAAAACTAAAAAGGAACAAAATATCTGTTTTGAGATTTGAAAAACAATCCTCCCATCCTGTAAACTTGTACCTGTGCTGACTGTTCATAGTATGGGATTCATTCACCAAGTTTTGCGGCAAACTGGTGAGCACCTCATGTCACATTGGACCTAACCTCGACAGGATTTAAACCCTAAATCTAAGGGTGTCTAAGGGGACAAAACTATAAAACAATCGAACATTTACCATACCTAAATGTTTACCATACTACCAACGCTATGGTCAACAATAATACCTAGTATATCATACGTTTGAAAAATATTATTAGTCTGTTTTATGTTCAATCCTCCATTTTTGTTTATTATTTTATATTTGTGACATTATGTAGCCTAGTACCAATATTTCACTATGGACTGGTGCAACTTCTCCATAACTAACTTATGATAAAATAAGTTTGATAATTGATTGTGCTGAAAAAATTTACAATAATACACAATGAACCGATTTAGTGGCTTGAACACTAGTTCAAAAAAGATTGCTACTCCTCCTACACATTAAAGCCTTCATTGTCTGCTGTGTCTTGACTGCACCCAGAGCTAGGCTATCATCCTTGTTGTCTGCCAAGTGTCCTGCCCCAACCCCCATGATGCCCCCAACCTTTATCAACCAATCACATTCTCTTGACAGCAGCGAGAAGCAGTCTCACACCAGAAATGTTTGGCTATCAACCCAAGATACTACAATGAGCTGACTTGATAGGTAAAATACTTCAATCTCCTTGTATTTAAGAGAGTGTGCTCTCTAAATTTCATGTTGTTCATTGTCCTTAGTATCAGAATATGTTATAATGTAATAAAAGGTTGATATAAATGTTCATTCATATGCGTTTCCTGTAAACTTATTGTTTAAATCTACAAAAGAAATGTTGACATTGATCGAGTTCTAAACAATGCAGTGCTTTAACATGAAAGTCCAATTTTGAACAACTAATTAATCTTAAATAATGTTCTTTTCACAATATTAGTGAAAGGTTGCAAAATTTCAAAATATTTCAACCCAAAGAAGATCTAAATATTGCAAAGTTTAGTTGTCTGACTAAAAGATTACACAACTGGGCCATCACTGATGATTTAATTGCCAAAAATTTCAAACACCCTAAGTTACACAAGAAATTATACTTTTACCATGAATTGAAGGCGGCAAATGTCTTAAAAGTTTTCTCATGGTCATTACAATTATTTTTTTCAAACATACATTTCCTAGATGATAGATATTTCCATCTTTGATGACTCAATATAGAATTAGAATATATAACTTGTTCATGCAAGATAAAACATGCACATGCGGAATCTTGCACGCGTGTTACTTACAGTTTTCACAGCAGATTTCATTGCTGGGTTTGCCTGAAAGTGCAACCAAAAATAAACCAACCGAAATTTGTGAACAAATAATCAGGCACATTGCACCGTTTGACATGCATGCAATAACACAAAATTTACTTTAGCTTAAAAACATGCCAAGTAATACTTTTAGAAATTATAAAGCAGTTTGTAAAAGTATATTTCAATTGAAATAGGTATTATTAAAGCAGAGGAGTTTGGGGAAAATAACTCAGATGATAAGTTTAGTAAATTTGATTTACTTCCAATTGACTTATTAATTTTTTAATCTCTGCATAAACTTTAACAAGTAACTGATTGTCTCAATTCTAAAGATTATACTGCCTCAAGAGTTTTCCCTTACAAATTTGAAAGGTAATAAATAATAAGTACTGAAAGTAAAAGCAAATATATTAAAATTTATTTAAAAACATTTCACGAGCAAAACAGTCATAAAATGCATTAACAATGTCAAATCCACATTACCAACATTTAATCAGCAACATCATGACATTTCCGTTTACACCCTTTTTTCAAAGAGTAAAAATGTGATTTTCTAAGCAAGAAAAGAGCAGAACGTACCCGAGACTTGACGCTGCGGAACATTGCCGAGGTGTCCTTACGTATTGTGGAAAGGTATTCTCGATATTGCTGCTTCAGCCGAGAACTCGACTTTTCCGAGTAGTTGCAGGCTTCCATCTCAAATTCGTCTGAGAACCCGAGACCTGCGTTCAGCATGTCCAGTCTTTCCTCTATAAACTGATAAAAAGGATTATAAATAACAATGAACAATATTTAAAGTGCAGTTTGACTCCTGAAATGGAATGGGCCATAATCTTTATACATACTTGGTTTGCTTGTACTTTTGACTTTGGATCCAAGGCTTTACACTTATGTATACTCAATTGATGATTCCAGAATTTAAATTAAAGTAACCAATGCAATATAATAAATGGGCTGAATAATAGTACCTGTGATATAAAAGTACTTAACTCAAACTAATAAACTACTAAAAGAGAGTAGAGAGAATTCACAATATTTAGAAAATCATGTTAGGCCAACACCTGAAATACAAACGTTGGAGGAATACAACTAAGTTTATTTATTTTTTTATGTCTACAGTAGTTGATCTGATATTGCATGGTTTCCTTTACGACACAGCCAAAGTGAACAGTAAGTAGCAATGCTGCACTCCCCTGACTATTGCTATGGTAATAACAATAACAGTAATAACAAAAGTGTAAACATTTATATTGCTCCATATGAATTTATAACCACAGCTTTTTCAGTAAGTCGGAACTGCTGCTTGCCACTTTATTCTCGCTACAGCCTTGTCTTAGACAAGGCTATTAGCCATTCATTGGCTTTTAATCTTTCAAATATAGGCATAGATGTATAATCAATAAGTTTTAAACTTCTACATCTTACTGATTCATTTTCAGCAAACAGGTAGACTGCTACTCATCAAACAATTACAAGATAAGAATGGGGTTGTCCCTTTTTTATCAAGTTTGACTAAACATTCAAATCTCAATCAAAAGTTCTATTCAAAGTTCAAAGATACTCTGAAAGTGCCACTGAGGTTTGAGTAAATTACATTTTCTACACAAATTATTTCAATACTAAGTGTACTATGGACTGTGGTAGGATTCCAAGTTTTTAGATAGAGAGCTATTCTGTTCCCATATGCTAATTTTCATTGAGTATCCAACAAAAGGTCGATGTAACAAAACCAGACAGTGGACCATTTCTTACAAAAACATAAAGATGCCAATGGAGTAGAGCAACACACATAAAAAAGACATACCTGCTGGAAGGTTTGTAGCTCAAGCATTTTCCTGAGGAACGGCTGCATAGGCGGAGGACGTGACTCAACGAAGGCGTCCTGGTTGAAAGTAATCTTCTCACCCTGATGAAACCGCAGTGCGTCCCTGTAGCCTCCGATGAGTTGTACCAACGCACGTAGAAAGGCGCGAGACACACCGTCACCTAGCAGTGCTGCACGGTTACGCAGCTGTGCACGCAGATTCTTTACCTGGAATAGAAAGATAAATATTACTGTCTTGTATATTTATGATGATATCAGATTATAAGAATTTGTATAGCTTAGTTTGAACCATGGGAGGGACGGATGAACATGTAAACTGAGGATAGGGAAAGTAATGAACCAGAATTTGCCTACTGTCCGCTATGCACAAAATGCTAGCCCATATATCCACCTAAAGTTCGGGAAAGGTTAATGTAAAAACCAATAAAAAAAAACTATAAACAGACTGGAATTGTCAACAAGTACAGACGGGTAGCCCACACTTTGGAAGGGTCACAATATATTGACCAAAAAAATGTGGAGGAGATCAGTAGAAAAGGAAGAAGGCAAGAGATGGCGAGAAATATAGCAGTGGTAAAAAATCGAGTATGGCAGAGAGCTTTTGTCTCCCTACGTTCTCTGTGGGCTTAAGAAATAAGTTAAGTCAAGATTTTGCAGTCTAACCTAGGGGTGTCATGAGGGGAGTGCACTCACCACATCTGGAGGTAAACTCTCCAAATCTTGGAATGGAGTCTCCACAGTGTTGTTGTCCGCGTCCAAGATAACAACCTCCCCCATGTCATTACGCCTCACTTTCTGTAAATCATTCATCATATTAAAATATAATTTAAAAACAATAATTTGACATGATATTTTAGTGTATTTTGCATTTATCTATGCCATTGGAATTTTAGCGAATTTCCCATATAGGGAATAAGCTATTAACGTAAGTCTCAAGTGGGCTCATGGACCCGGGACCGATTTACTTTTTCGTTTTGATGTTTCAGAGGCCAAAAAACACCATCAGTTCAAATTCATACAAGTTACTGTATATGTGTCCGTAGGTACGATCAATTTGGTACAAGGGAGTAAACCTACGTTTATTTGATCAAATTCGTGAAACAGCGTGATCGGACCATGGGAACGGGGTTTTATGGAGTAAATCAAATTTTTGACCCTCAAAACATAAAATTTTCCAATTTATTTCCAAACCATTTTGAACAGATTATGGGAACAAAGTTTTATGGGGTAACAATTGATTTTCTCTTTTTCATCCTAAAAAAAAAAAATTCCCAATTTCTCTCTAAACCATTTTAAAGAGGGTAAAAATACAAACAATGTAGAATATTGTAGTGTTTTGTACTGATATTGGATATAGAGAAATTTCAAAGATTGTTAATTTAAATGATATTCTTATGGAGAATAAGTAAACTGTTGTAGATTGCTTGTTTATGTGTATATTTCCCCCCATAAACAAGCATCATATTATTGATTATTTTCAATAACAAATTCAAAATAAAAATATTAATGAAACAGTTAATATATATTTTTAAAATCATAGTTTAAAACAATTGAAAACACGTTCAGGAATCTCAACAACTTTAATGATGGTAATTAACAATGTACATGACATAACAAGATAGATACTCTGAAGGTTTATAGATAGCAAATTTGCTAACTGCATGGAAGGCTAATTCGTAATGTTACTCCATCCATTCAGAGAACGGCCTTCGCCAAATTGCTTTCTCTCTTGCATGCATTCATGATTCATTCATCATTGATTCAATATCTCTATCTTTGTCGTTCTCAGCAGGACGTGAGAACAAAACAAGGTCAAACATGTCAGACTTTGATTGGATTTTTTTATACACATACATTTTAGGCTTAGACAAATATTTTCAACAATAGGTTAACATGAAGAAGGCCAAAGCTGAGGAGAAATAGTCAGATGGCCTAAATTCAAGTTTGGCCAAAAGCCTTTGTTACAGCCCTATGTCCCCCTTAACTTCAGCGCCGTCCTTAGGGTGGAGCGAGTAGCGAGGCCTGCCCAGCGAGGCCTGCCCAGCGAGGCCTGCCCGGCGAGGCCTGACCGGCGAGGCCTGACCGGCGAGGCCTGACCGGCGAGGCCTGCCCGGCGAGGCCTGCCCAGCGAGGCTTGCCCGGCGAGGCCTGCCCGCCGATGCCTTACTATCGCTAGAAATAAGTTAATGTTTTGGAATGAAAATAAAAAAATAAAGGACAGACAGATACATGTTCCTAAAATATGTCTTATTTATTATGAATTAGCCTATATCAATTGTTGTATCGATTAAAAACCTACGAACGACATTTAAAACACAAAAGAATATCAAACAACGTTTGACAGCTCGGCGGCGATGACGGAACCCGAGCCTCGCGGCAGCCACCCCGGTGAATGTGAGTGAGTCATACGCTTACTCTTACAGGTAGAACCCCTCATATCCGGCCTTGGTTTTACCGGTCCTCTGTTTATCCGGCCCCTTCCAGGAAGCCAATATCAAAATTTTTTTCTCACAGCTTACAGACGTTTAGATGCAAGCACTAACTAGTCTTTGTGACTGCTCAAGTCATAAAATAAAATGTTCTCACTATTTATCTGTTTGTTTATACATTTATTTGCTGAGTCACTATACTCAGTTGAGTTGAGCTAGAAGGCCTAACCTCTGATCAGTTGGTTGATTATTTCCAAAGTGGGTTTAGTACAGTACAGTACGAGTACATTAATTTAAAATGGTTAAGAATGTTGAGTAGAAATGCAAGTACCATTTAAGTCCTAATGATCTTTAAGTACAATTTATTGTCATTTTTACCTCCATTTAATATGTTTTGTTACCTGGAATCATAATATTTGTACATTCATTACTTAATGACTTTAACCTACAAATATTTTTTTCCCTTTATTACAAACATGTTTATTTGTCTAAAAATGATCCCATAACAGAATTAAATGATAATTTTGATTGCATATATTGATTACCTATTATTATTAGGTATGAATTGTCATTTTCATAGTAGGTTGGTTTATCCGGCCAAATCGTTATCCGGTCAGGGGCTTGGTCCCGTGGTGGCCGGATATGAGGGGAGGGGTTCTACTGTACTGGTACTGGTGCCATTAAACATCTATTGTATTATTAATTAAGTTCAATTTATTTACAGATGTAAATGTTTACTGGATTGAATGGATAATCAGCGTGGATAAGACTGACTGTAAACTACTCGCATTTTGCAATAAACATAAACCTATGACAATATTTTTCATCAAAGTAAAAAGTAATACTGTGAATCAATTACACTGTAATGATACTACCTCTTTTAATTTATTATTAAAAACTCACGAGGTGTTAGCCCGTCCTACGTACGGGAGTAGTCAGTTAAAACGGTGTAGGCCTATAACTCAGAACAGCTAGTTTACACGTATAAAGACAAATTTTATTGCAGCCTACAGTAGAAAGAGTAATTATCAATTGAGAGTGTATAGGCCTAGTCAATGATATCACCTTCCATCGCATACCTACCTCTTCCATAATCAATATCACCACAATACAATTACTCATACTATACACAATTTCCAGTAGGTGTAAATTGAAACTCCCTAAAATAAAACGAAAACATCCAATAAAATTCACAGTACACATAATTATAACGTTGGTGTCCTGACATCATTAAACGAATCGTCCACACACATCCTTTATGTCAATTTCACTGCATCAATTGCTAAATAAATAAGTGTAAACAAAGAAAAGTAAACACAACAACATATTAGTTTGTTTTGTAAACAGCTGAGTCAAAAATAATATTCATTTGAACAAAAGAACTGGTCACATGTTAAAGGAATTTAAAAAGTAAAAACGCTAGTAAAGCTAGTAGTGACGCAATTAATTGTCTATGTTTATTATCCATTCCGTTATCAGTTCCAATATCCTTGATCGTTAAACCACCCTCATTGAATCAATGTACATTGTAATTCCCCATATTCATTTATTTAAACTATAAAATATTCAGCGCCTCTAAACGTAACCACAACTAAACACACGCCAAACAACTTTTTTAGATTTCATAAAAGGATGGTTAGTCTAATTGTAGTATCCTAGGTCAATGAAGAAGTTGTGTTCAATCTACGTCATTGATCTGTATATCTTTGGATATAATACCCGTCTGAGGTTGTGGTGGTAATTTAAAATCGTATTCCTGAGGATTCTTGATCACCATCTTTATGACATCAATATTTCCAGGCCTAATCCAAACAAAGTTCAAGCATTCAAAAACATTGATTGTAAACAAAAAGCTGCCAAGATGAATTAAAACATGTAGAAATTGTGATTTTCCTACCCTTTCCAAAAAAGTTGAGCAGTAAAATAATTTGCATTATCTTTTTCATTTAACTCGTGTACAGAGCCTCGGCTTGTATACATCGATGGTGTTACTTATCTCGGTGGTCTACTAATCTTACTTATTTCCTATAATCAATGACAAAATCAGAGTAAATAACCTTATAGTTCTATAGGGCATTTTTATAACTAACCAGCTGTTAGTTAAAACAAATTATATTGCTCTAAAACAAATCAAAGATTACAAAGATTGCTTTAAAAAATAATTTGAACATCCTAGTATTTTACTATGTATATTAAATTAATCTGTCATCCTCTTACAGAAGAATTGAACGTATCAATTATTAGCATTACACATACCGAAATAAGTCAACCCTAAGTATGTCTTTACATTTTTATCCAAATGCTGAATTTGTGACACAAAAGCTGAATGTTTACAGCTGTTATGTTAAGCAAATTATTTTATGCCAAAAGCTAGTTTAGAATCTTAGCTAGACTTTTTAAAAATTAAAACTTAATTTCTAAAAAACTGGGACCCTAAACTGAAATTATGGCTTCGACATTCCCTAGTTCTCAAAATTATCTTTCTTTCAACACAAAAATCATGAAAATCCGTCGAGTGGTTGATTCAGAATCGTGAAATAAAAAAACACTGTTTCGTTTTAATATTATAGATTGACAATTATAGGTAATATTTTTTTACCTTTAAAACCACAATTACAGACCAACTGCCGAAAACGCAATAAACCTATCTTGACAAAAAGTACATAAACAAGTTAGCCTATGAGCATTTACTATTTACAAAGTGACGGGACGACAATCCACAGTGAAGAGAAGTGTTAATTTTTTTATTAATTATTGTAAAGAACTTCGTGGACAATATTTATGATATCCACTTTGGAATTGGAACAATAATATACCGTATGCAATTAGCTATAATATTAACGGCCATTTACAGAGTGTAAAAGATTCATTTGTTTCATCAAAATGCTTAAAATGACGAATTTGCAAGTATCTCATTGACAATTATTTATGTAATATTTTTTACCTTTAAAACACCCTCCACAGACCAACTGCCGAAAACACAATAAACCTAACTTGACAAAAAATAAACAAGATAGCCTATAAGCTTTTACTATTAATTGTCGTCCCGCCACTTTGTTTAATTTACAAAGTGTTAATTCAATTCACAATCCACAGTAAAGGAGAAGTGTTAATTTTTTTTAAATTAATGATTGTAAAGAATTTCGTGTGCAATATTTATGATATCCACTTTGGAATTGGAACAATAATATGTGTAATTAGCAATAATATTCACGCCTATTTTCAGAGTGTAAAATATTCATTTTTTTTCGTCAAAGTGCTTAAAATGACGACTTTACAAGTATAATTTTACTAGGGATGGTCAAGTCTCGAAATCTCGGGAAATTTTCGGGAAATTTTAAATCTTGTTACACAAGACGAGATTTCTTTTTGGCCGAGATTTTAATCGAGACGAGAAAAAATAATTAAAAACGCCTGCAGAAAGTCAATGCAATACCCGCAATACAGGAGCGTGTTGTAGTTGCGTTTCCTTTGCGAAGGCGTTCTTATTTAATTGATTCTTCAAATGTAAATATTACTTTAATTATTTTAATAACATTTGAGAAGTTTTGTTCAGTGTTAGCAGTGTGAGGAATGTTTTATTACTATAAAAAAAGTCAAAACAAGTAACTATTTTATACAAATTAATATTTTATTTTATGATTTATTTTATTTTAGGATAAGTTGAACTCTATTCTAACTGATATCACTATGTTTCCTAATAGTAGGCATTTTTAATAAGTTAGGCGTGATTAATAAAAAATGTTATGCTGATGTTTTTTAATAAAAGATTGTAAATATTCTTGCCTATTATCATTATTTTTGTATTTAAACAGTCATCTAACAATGTTACAAAATCAGGTAAAATTCCGAAAGTGCATTTCCCGTTGTGTGAGAAGGGAAATCCCGTCTCGAAATTGTATGAGAAATAAAAAATCTCATCTCGTCTCGTCTCGAACTAAAAATCCAATCTCGTCCATCCCTAAATTTTACAAAAGTTTTCCGGGGGGGGACCCCTGGACCCCCCCCTCAGACCCCCCGGTGAGCTTGGTTAAACAAGGCCTCGCAATTATGTATTGCCCCAGGCCTCGCATTTTATAAAGACGGCTCTGCTTAACTTAAAGCTTTAACACATTTTTGGATCAACCTATAACAATTTAACAGCATTTTGTATTTTATTGGTTGCTATACTTTGCAACTGGGTGAAGAAGAGCACATAATGGGGTGCTTAAAATGTCACCTATATCTCCAGTTGTGTGTATTTTTTTATTTTTATACAACATTATGACTAAGTTGTTGTCTAGTTATACTCACAGAAATCAACGTGGAAGACACACCGATGAGGTAGGGCATTGGTGCAAGCAGGTAGTCTATGAGTTGCTGCGGCAACACTGGTATAAATATGTGCTGCCAGTGCATCGGGTAGATGATGGCGTTGGCGGACTGTACGCAAGCAGAGAGACGATTCAGACGACGAGACGTGAAGATAATCCTCCGCTCGTACAACATCGACGCAAATATGATCATCATGTTGTTGCTGTCTACCGCGTTGTAGTATTCCGTCAGATTACGCTGTAAGAACATTCGTTAAGGGTGTTTACTAATCGTCAATTTCATGCTAAACAAAACCAATTATATGTGTATGTTAAATATCTTTTTAACTAGAGATGGTTTAGTTTGTTGGTTCTTAATTCCACCTTGAAAATGGAATCACAAAACATTTGTCCAGAATAACCTTTGACCAAGGTTGGCTACTGGTGGTTCTATCAATTTTGAACATGAGAGTGATGAAAGTTCAGAAACCTTTGCTTGCAGGTTAATATAACTTTTTTTTCTTAGCACACAACAATCATTAAAACAAATAATTAAGATATAAGAAGAAATAATGGTTGATGAGGGAAGTAATGTACTTTTTGTCTGTGAAAAAACAACAAAACTAACTAGATTTTACTAGCATTACTTTGGTATATGAATTGAAGAGTATTAAAAATAGTTAAATAGCGAATAGATTCAATCCTTGATGCAACACTTATTTAACTATCACATCTAACTAAACAAATAAAGTATATGAACAATCTCATACAACTTACATTCTCCGGAATACTTGGAAGTTGAAATTGACTAGGACTTTGGCATGTAAAGAACTGAAACAAACAAGTTAAATAGATAATTTGTAACACTGATGTCTTGACTGAGAAATAACAGTACAAGTGACAAAACTCATAGAAAACTTTAAGTCACAAATAATTGATTGAATAGCTTATCAGTCTGTTTACTCACGCTTGTGCCGTTTTGGCGAATAGGAAACTTGACGCTGGTGTTAGGCGCAGGGATCTGACTTTGGTACACAGACTGTAGGAACGGAATCAACTCATCTCCAGAAGCGCTGTTGGTCAACTCTGAGATGATGTTCAAGAACCTATCACAAACAAAGGAAATCAGGTTAGCAATTATTGAAGTAAATTGTAAACAAACCATATAGAGTTTCCATAATATGGAGGATATAGGTTACTGTATGTTCACTCCTCAAGGTCTGTTTAACCTTGGTGTGTTTAAACGTTTTAACACTCCCAGGATTTGTTTAAAATGCGACCTTGCTTATTTTATAAATGTCTCATCACTTTTGCAGCTTCGTAAATTTCATACATAGGTTGTGCACAACCATTGATTTTGAAGATTTAGTTAACTTTGTTCAAGTGCAACATCCGTTCACTCTCAACTATTTATAAAGCTAATAAGCTTCACAAAGTTTTGAGAACACTGTAAGCATAGTTTTAATTTATAATTGATTATTTTTCTCTAGATTTAACCTTTTCATTTACTTTATTCTAGTTTATCTAAGTTAACAATTTGATAAAGTTATTGATTTTGATTGTGCTACACAGCTAATTGCAAATAGATAATCTAAAGAGATATTAATTAAAATAAAATACGCAGGACAATCGTGTTGTACCTCTATAATCATTGGCAAGTGTGAAATCTTTTTTAAGTAGATATAAAGAGCCATATTATTCTCTTCTGTATCCCCTCCCTGTTGTGAAGTACACGTAAAACAAGTAGTGTCATACTACCCTAAGAGATTACCCTACACTCTTATTACTACAAGTATACTGGGACGGTGGCGTCGTCCTGTAATCCAGCTACTAGGAGGTCACGGATTGTGTGTATTTAAAGGTATGCATTGTGGATGCAATGCTCCCTGGTGTGGATTAACGTTCGCACTAGTGAGTACTACGACTATCCGCAGTACTATCTTGATAATTAGATCGATTTGTTAATTACAAGGAAAAAATGTGGTTCGGATTCCGCTATAAACTGTAGGACTCTTAGTTGCCATTGGCTGTAGGGCTATTAATTAACAGCTGTGTCTAAAGAACATTTTGGTCTTAGTCACTAACAAGACTACAAGATCGCACCACTCATCCTACACTCGTCCTTGACTCATATTCGGGTTAAAATACGCACACATTGGCATCCCCATCTTGATCTCATCCCCATAATTGATAATTGATAATATTATTTTTAAAGAGGTTATCCGTAATATGATTGATAAATGATTAAAGTGAAAAGATCAATTAAAAAAAATATGTTGTCTATAGATACTTTATAATAAAATATAATAGGTTGCAGAAAAGTATTGAAGAGTTTCATTTTCTAACATTAAATATACGGTACATGATATTTGCTGACGACGCTAAAACATGATGAGTAGTCAATAAGTAACATGAAATGAGAACTTGTAATCAAAAGTCATGTTGTTATTTTTACTCATCCAGTAACTTCCTGACAACATATCAATAATCTGTTTGCTCAACTTACATCATGCGTGTGTCAGTAAAGATACTATTTATAGAGTGTCAAATACACAAACATAAGTCAATTAATCAGGGAACCCCTTAGATAATGCCTGCAGTAACTAAATATTAGTTCAAATGACAATTTTGTCAGAGAAAACCTTTGCTCTTTGATTTTGCTTAAAACTAATGAGTCAGCTATTTCTTTAAAGAAAAAGTGTTACTTTAAGTAAAAAATGTTAAAGCTTAATATTACATGCTAAAGGGTTCAAGTTAAATCTTTATAATATTTTTTTGAAACTATTAAACTTAATGCATTATTTTATAAAATGGAGGTATGTTGTATGTTGCGTGATAGATAAACCAACTAGTTCTTTAATTCAAAACAACCCGCCTATATGCAAAACATATTTTTAATATATGGATTTATTGGGCTCATTAACACGTTAAGTGCGGATGCGCGATAGCCTTCCGCAGTTGGTGGCTAATGCGCGAAAATGTTTAAATTTAGTATCATCCAAATAAGAGGCAAATTGTAGTATGTCCCGCATTCCAATTGTTGTGGACGTAGTTTTACAAGAACCTAACAGATACCAGCACAAAACAAAACTGCTAGCAGGCACTCAGTATTGTGAAATAGAGGGGAAAAGCAGGGGCAAAAATCCGGATACACCATAAAAAAATAATGCAAAAAAGGTGTCAAGCACAATTTTTAGGTTAGATTCCATCCACAATGCTACACTACAGTAATTATTGTTATTCTATTCAATTTCACTAAATCCAAGACAAAACCACATACTACACTAAATTTGGAACAGTCCCCACCACCGATGAAATTGTCAGATCTGAAAACTAATTATAACGGAAAGTATAAAACTGGCACAGCAAGCGGCAAGCGAAACGACGTTCCCCGTGCGAGGCTGAGCTCACACTGGTCACTGGTTCAATACTTTAGAGTTAGGAGTGCTATGATGTTTAACATAGTCCGCAGCGCGCGCCAGTCCCACACTACGTTAAATAACGTAGACCACACGTGTTAAACTGTAGATGAGTATCATGGAAAGGAAAATCGCCGATCAAAATTTCTAAGAACTAACAAAAAAGTTGAAACTCAATGGCAATGTTTGATTGGTTGATTTTCCCAAGTATTGACTCACTTTGTGAACGACTCGTGCCAAGGTAGGTAACTGAGGACGACCAAAGCCGTCTCACTCTTGGGATCATGACGGCAAAACCCAAACGTCCACTTGGAGTCCGAGCTTGTCAGCACAAACGAGAAATGCTGTACTGTAGAGCTGAAACCCACATGCAAAATAGTAGTAAAATTTACTCTTATACCGTAGTTACTAGTTAAAATGAGGACACAGCTTAGTGCATAGCAGAACGAAGAAGATTAAGAAAAAAATAGGATTTTAGAAAAAATGTTTACAAATTTAGAGTACAATCATATGAAATTATATTACTTCATCTATGGTACAATTTTAGAATTATTTAGCCTGCAAATCACACACTATTCTTTTAGTGTCCACGAGCATTGTCTACTTAAAGACCTGAAATACAAGGAAATCAGCCTAAACCATTCAAATTGTTATGGATATGTAGGGGATCAACGTCCCTCTTGTACCACACTTCAAGTCTGTTACCACTAGGCTAGCAATACGACCAAAAATCTAGCTATTTTTTTATAAAAATGACTATTCTATTTAGGTTTTTGCAGTTTGCCCTACTTAAATGGAACATGCTTTAAAATATCCAATTTAATGTCTTTTTGTAACCCGAATCCATATAGCTGTTATCACACAGCAGCCACTCTAGATAACACAGAGCTAGAGGTAGAGGTAGGCTAGACAATGACTCACTGACCCATTCATTAACAGTTTCAAGGTCAATCTCTCACACTAGTGAAACTTCCTCAATGATCCTTTGTGCTACACAATGAAGGCTTTTTATCAAACAAACCTTTCAGTAGAGAGAATAACCAAAACCAATTTTAAAACAAAATGGTTAGATAATCTGAATGGAATAATCTGGAGTAATGTAGGCCTACAGTAATTGAGTTTATTTATTTAGGTTAAGTTTGTAAGTTTACATGTTTTAAACAATTTGTTTTTTTGTATTTTGATATAACACTATTACCTTAGCCTAGGTGTTTTGGAACATCAACACTATGCTAAAAAAAATCAAACAAAATGTATATTTTGAAGATAATTTTTTGTTTGCTGTGAACTACACAACAATTTTTAGGGGGGAATATAGCAGACTAATTAAGAAGTTTGGAGGCAAAGCCAAGCGGGAAGAAGACCCAAGAATCGCTGGAAGTACCAGGTGGAGAAAGATTTGTGAAAATTGAGAGCAAAGCAAGAAGATTTGGAAGACAGGGAGGGATGGAGGCAACTTGTTGGTGAGGCCAAATACCGCCTATCTAGGGTATGGTATTAATGGCCATGGGAGTTTAAAGTAAAGTACCATAACTAAAAGTAAACTACACAATTATAGGACTGCTTTTAAACCATTATCTATACTCTAAAAGCTTTTAAAAGGCTAATGAAATTATATTACAAGTAAGTTTCTAGTCTCAAAAAATGAACAGGCGTCTCAAAAATTAATTTTGTTATTGAATGGTTAAAGATGTTTAATGATGGTTGTTAAAGAATGGTGTTTAACGTCAATCAGAATGATTTTATGTTGACTTTTTATAACTTATCAAGGTAGGCCTATACAAAAATCTACCTTTCAAAAATAAAAATTGAACCGCCAACAAAGAAATAGGTGGGTAGGCTTACACTATCATAATTAGTGTACATTTACTGTTTTAAATTAAAAGAGTAATGAATAAATATTTTGTGTGAAATAACTAGCTTGTTAAAAACACGAACCTGCTATTTTATAATACATTATCAAAATGTGAAAAACCAATAAAATTATAATGATCCATGGCTGTAGCATGAAAAAAAAGTTAATATGTCTGTGGTATGTTTTCTTACATCAAATATAAAATATGATTTTTACTCTGTCATTTACTAACCACACTGGTTGAAGAATATAATTAATATTTTCCCAGAATTGTCTAGAGGCTTGTTCTTCGGGGGAATAATTGCTCAGCCAAAGTAGTTACACAACTATAAACGCTTGATGCAATCATTCTACTAACTTCTAGGATGTGCTTGGAAACTAGAAAACAGTTTTATATGTTACTTACTTGTCAAATTCACACGGATACGTGAACTTGGGGACAGATTTAAGAACTTGTTCATCTCGATATGTTTCTGGATATCTCTGGATTATCCAGGCTTCCGTTCCATCAGGCTGAGGACCGGCAACTTCGCAGAAACATTCAAAATAATGTTTTACATTCTCCCTGGAACAGGAAATATAGTTATAGTTGCTTTGGAAAGAAAAAAAAAATCTGAACTTTTTTAAGCTAGCCTAATTTAAACTTTTTTAAGAGGTAGGCCTAGGCAGCCTCTTTGACCTCGGTCCCCGGGGGCCCGTGCGGGGGAACCAGTAGGGCTTCAGTAGTGGCGGGCTCCAGGATTTGAATACACTACATTGATGTCATGACTTCCAAGTGTGTAACGCTACCGGTTGAGTCATACCAAACTAGTCGGTCTGTGTGTAGTTGCTAGTTTTACATATTTTTTACAGTGGTCAACTCAAATGAAAAACCACATTGCAACCTATATTACCAACCATTACAGCTCGTGACACCTAAGCTGGCACTTGGCCTAGCACGGGCAGTGTAGGCGGGAGGAGGGTGGAAGTAGGGAAAAGACCGGACTGCAAACATTTCCTCTACCTCTCTTGGGGTTGACTCCCCGTATATTATGTACTTGAGCGCCTTCACTTGAGTCGCGAGGACAGTTGACGCAACCCGCATGACGGGACAAGATGTTTTTGAACAAGATGCTAGTGGTGATTTGCCAAGTGCCAGCTTAGATGTCACGAACTGTACTTTTTAACTTGAACAAATAAAAAGGGAATGTAGGCCTGTATTTAAAATGATGTAGCCTACAACACCTGCATATAGTATACCTGGTTGCTGTAGTGGCAACTAGTTTTGGCTCTTAATCAGAACCATGATAAGGCCAACAAGGTGTCAAGTAATCACTATATTTGAAGGTCGTCAACAGGGTTAAAATAAAAACACATACATGTGTACATGAGACAAGGTAACATAAAACGATATACTTTTACAAAAAACACTAAATAAACAAAGAAACATTGACAAACGGGAACATGACCGGGCTAAAGTAAAGTACTAGGCCTATAACTGGTATTTAATATACTATTTTGATTCTCCAAAAAAGGGCTTTAAGAGCTATGACAGGGACGCAACCTGATCATTGCAAACCTCTTTTTATAGATCTGCAAATTCAAACTGCAGTAAATTTGTTCATTTATGATCTGATTGTTTATATATTAAAAAACCCTGAATATCTTCAATTTAATAATCACAGTCACAACACTCGTTTTAAAAATACTGCGCTGTTAGAATCCAATCGTCTTAGTAAAACTAGTAATTGCCACATAATTTTATCAATTAAAGTGTATAATTCAGTAAAAAATAATATAAATTTTCATTCAATTAACAAATTTAAGGCTATGTTTTAATTATCTACTTCAAAACCCTTTTTATAGTCTGGATGATTATTTTAAACTGGGAGAAATTGTCCTTTAGTTTGGTTTTAATTTCAGTTAAGAATGTGAATGGAGTTGAATGTTAATTGTAATATTTGGCCTGTAAGAGTATTTTGTTGTTTATTTAAGACTTGGTTTGAAAACGGCAAATAGACTTTGTCAATGATATGTAAATGTATCCTTATGGCAAATAAAGATTGATTGATTGATCGATATATATGGTGGTCAGGGGGATCTATGATCTCTGCCTTTGTCTTCTTATGGCGTGTTCATTAATTCATTGTTCTCCTCCAGTATCCTGATAGCTGTATAAATGTGCTAGTTGAATTGGAAGGAGGGTTGATCATTCAATTTGTTTCTAATCGTCAGTTTTAACAGCTCTGTATAGCCTATTTCAAACTCTTCCACATTGTGATTGATGTCTTCAAGTACCTTAAGTGTAGTTATGTAAAACAAGATGTTCTGCAAAATTTGATGTAAGTTTATCATAATTTTAAATATAATACAGTAATACGGAGGCTAAACAACTATTAGGAAATGTTCCAAAGCAGAACTACGGGCGACAGTGCTACATTGTCACAGAAAGACGGTGAGGGCTGCAGAAAGCCCACCCTGCCCAAATTGTTTTTTTTTCAAAAAAATATTTTATTTTTACTTTAGGGCCACATTTTTCTTTCTTTAACTTAACCTGCAAGTTTATAGGTTTCTGCAGAAAATGCTAAGTATTATATAAAAAGGTAGGCCTAATAAAATATTTTTTGCAGAAAATATTTCTGTAGGCCTAAGTTAAAAAGTTGACAACTTAGTTTTCTTCAAAAAAATTCTCCGTTCTGCAAACAGTAAACGCTACAAAACGTCGGCATTACATAATCGAAAGCTGCAACATAAGTTTTAAGAAATAAAAATACAAAGAAATTTTTAATCTACATAACAAATTAAGAAAAAATTAAACAACAATGCAATTTTTCAAAACAATGGACAATATTGGGATATTTGCAATTTAACAAAATAAATGGACAATTAACAGCTAGCCTACAATATTTGGTGCATCAATCGTGAGGAAGAACGCTTAGAATAAGCAAATTACCATAAAGCGATTGAATAACAGTAGGCATATTCAAACTGATAGGCCTACGAGCTTTTGAAAACTTGCCTAAAGGATAGGTGGCCAGTGTGTGCTCCGTGCCTATAACGCATTGAACTTGTCCAACAAAGCAAGGGGGGGGGGGACAGTAGGTACAATAATAAGCTAAAGCCAACTAGCTAATAAATTTTAAGTACAGCACTGGGACGTAAACCCATGTCATCCCTATCTTGGTTTTACACTTTAGGTACAGAGAATGTATTGTCTAGTTAGTTGTGCCTGGGGGTTTTTAAAACCCCACAATGTGGTTCATCCCATTAGCCCACTCTAGAGATAAAAAAACAATTGCCCAACTGAAATAAGTCAAATTTATGAGTTATTGTATTATTTCAATCACAACAAATTGTTAAACCTAACTTAGTCCTGTCTTTGGTTTATATTGCTAGCCTGCACCTTGAATCAAACTTTTCAAGTGCTTCATGTTTAACCTGCCTTTTTAAACACAAGAAAAAATTATAATTGTTTGACTAATGTGAGGTAAAAAGAAATCTTGAGCTCTAGATAACCCTTTGTTAAAACTATAATATCCAATCTCAGTGGGGGATATTCAGCTGGGTTTGAAGGCTAGGGACTAAAGATAATTTTGCACATAAACAAGGAAGTAATAAATAATGCAAGCCCTCGATGTGCTGGTTTAACTCGATTAATCCATTGGGAAAGATAACTTACCTTATTCTAGAACCCATCGTAGCACTAAATAGTAGTATTTGTAATTACTAAATCCATTGAAAACAACGTCACTGAGATTTTCTGAGAAACTCCCACATTACGACAGGACAGACAACTTGACAGACGACATTGTTCTTTCTCTCCTCTCTCTTCTCTTCCTCATGACACAAAAAGTGATGTTCGTCAGCTGACTGTGACCTTCAAGGCCATAAGAAAATAAATCATGAGCTTACATGCCTTTGACCGTAGAGCATATAAGAAACGTATTATCCGGTGTTCTTTAACTTATCTTAAATTTTCTGTACAGTGCCAATAACTTATGGTATGCTTTCTCAAAAGCAATATTTAGTTTAAGTTAAAAAAAATAAAGCCTGGCCATCTTAGTGTTGAAGGATTATTTATCATCCAAAACTATTTTTTCAAATACCAAAGTGATTGTAATTTGTGCACTGTGAGACTAGAAACTTTCTTTGTACTTTGTAATTGTTTTATAAGTATAGCCTATATCCAATGGTCAATGGTATAACGTCTAGGCTCCAAGGACTCTTAAAAAATATCGTTGTGTTGAGGACGCGCACGCATTCTGTTGATACCCAGATTAACTACGTCCAGCGCCAACTAGCAGCGTACGTTGCACCAATTCTATTGCCTATGGTTGTATGATTGCGTATTTTATTATAATATTATTTACATCGTTCAGCTAATTTAAATAATGTGAAAATAGTTTCCTTCCAATCAAGAATACTCCTTTGTATCTATTTACAAATAATATGTAAATGTCACTTCACAGTTGGTGTAGTTTTTCACACCAAATAATTAACAAAAATAATTTTTAGTTTTTAACCTCAAATAAAAAACAAAATAAACTGAGAAGTACATTAATACAATATATTGATACAACACTGAACACATTTCACAATGCCAATATCCCACAATTAAAAATTGAAAAGTTTAGTTCTCGTCGGAAAGAAAGTACTCGCCGTTCGCATATATACAAGCCGCTTCCTTACTTCAACGGGGGACCGATGGCACTAGGTGACCAATGGTGTAAACCACATACCAGTTATTGTTCTCCTTGAACAGCAACAGCAACAACAGCAGCAGCAACTATAGCAACAGCAACAACAACATAATTTCACCTCAGTGCCGAAATTTGTTCCCCAAATTTTTGCTATATTTTATTACATGTAAAAAATTAACTTTCTTTTACGTATCGTAATGATGCATAAAGAGTTGTATATGTACCTATAGTATTTTTCACTACTAGGGACTCGCATGTAAAACACTATCGAGCCCCGAAATGGGACTTTCGTGACGAGTATTGAGCGATACTTTTTATCACGATGAAAAAACTACTTCACCAAACTTAAAGAATGATGATAACTTAAAGTATGATATATCGTATCATTTGTCTAATTTTAACACAATACGGTACAATTAATTTTAGTGTAAAATTCAGTTGAATGTAACTTTGTTGATGTCAGGCAAAGTATTGTTTGTGTAGCGAAAGTAATGTTTATGTAGCCAAAATGTTTATGTCAGGAAAAGTCAGCTGATCACTATCAGTTTTTTGTGTATATAAATTGAAAATCTCAGCTGTATGGAAATGGGCTATTTTCGAATAAAGAGTGATAAAAACTATCTTAAAATTGATTTGCTAAAAAAAATAATTTAAAAAGCAATTAAAAGTAATTTAGCAATTTATTATGCTACAACAACCGTTTTTGACGACGATTTGATTGAAACATATAAGCGGATAAACGCCTTGAAATATAAAATACAAACACCCCCAGCTATCAAACTAAATGCTTAAAATAATCCATCTTAGTCAGCTACCACAGTAAATGTAAAACAAAAATTCAATTAAAGGTGCTAACATAAAGTTGAACACTAGAACAAATTACAAGAGGTTTTACATGCAAATTAACGGAAAAAACTGAAAATTAAATCTTATCTGTTTTATCTCTGTCGTTTTAAATCAACAAGAGCCCCACAAGTAACATTCAGCACCCCTCTCTTGATTTGGTCGTTTCCTGATATCGAGGAGGGCCCAGACGACTAATGAACTTTCATTTCCCGAAGCATTTAGAAGTAATGCGTCAGCAGTCGGGGCATTCCCAGCACCTGAAGCCATTACTTCCTGAATGCACATTAGTAATAAATGCCAACAAGCTCCCCCATGAACGATGTTACTGCTCACATTTCAGGCTCAGTCTTATTGTGCAGGGTTTGATTCAGAGGAATGACTTTCTTGAATATTGAATATTTGCCTTAATGATATTTTATCTTTCAGGATAATTTAAGTTGTATAATTTAATATTGAAATGTAATATTGAGGTTTTATGAAGTATTGGGCGTACATGACGAAGTTTTGTGTATTTATTTTATTTATGGGTTTAACTAAAATCAAAACCATTGGTAAATCTGATCTTATTTTACTTACAGAGTTTTGCACAAAATTAATAGTATTTTTTCACTGTGTGTTTTCAAAATACCTGTTATTTCAAAATTAACAAGCGTGTTATATGTTTGACGAGATGCCATTGTCAAACACATCAGTCCATGGAATACATTAAACTCTTGATTAGCTTCGTCGATTGTTTAAATTCACACTTTTCAACACACGGCACGAACGAAATAGAAATAAATAACATATGCTTATATGTTCAATTTGCTGAGAAAGTTTTCTTTATTTTCTGAATGTCTTCTTTTTTTATAGAAGGTTTAGTACGGGTCAATGGGAATGTTTCTAGGCTAAAATTCAGAACACTCATGAAAAAGTATTCTTCTCTTTTCAATTTCATACACAGTTCAAGTAATACTCTAAACTGATAAATGGCTAGAGGAAATATTATTATTAGTTAATTGATGAAAAACAAATATTACTTAGTACAGTTTGGCAGTGAAATTTTACAAATACGTGACTCTTCGTTTTCTCATTTATGAAATTCAAGAATGAATAAGTACAACAATAGAATCTACAGAATTCTAGAAGTTTTGAAGGTCTGTGTGGCTCAAAAAGCACTGAGCGTATTATAATGAAGAGGGGAGAATTTTATCAGAAATCTCTAAACTCACGGTGAGTGAATTACGACCAAATAAAGACACAATTGGTTTAGGGGGTGAAATGCTGATACAGAAAATATCATTGTTTTTAAAATCAAATTTCCCGAATATTTTTGAACAGATAATCGACAAAATAAAAAAAAAATAAATCGATAAATTTTTTTGTATATGGAATCAAATACTTAAATGCAGAACACAAGCGTGAATCTACTACATTTTATGTTAAACATTATGGATCTAATGTATTATACATCTCACCTTAACAATTATTTTTTTTGGACGTCGTAAAATAACCGTATAAGAATGGTCTAAACTCTAACTTACTTATCGATTTTAAAAATTGAAACCACTCTTATTCGATGCTCTTAATGCAAGGTTGTATGATTGGTTACGGTACCAATTCATCGATTTATCTCTACTAAGAAACTTGAAAGCACGAATCCTAATAGTGAAATCTATCCAATTTGTCTACTTTCAATTTTGTTGTTGTTCAGTGGCGTTTTGTATGCACATATTATTACCCATTGGTTTGGAGTCCTTCTTTAACCAATCTATAAATCTAAAAACGGACATTTGAAGATAACCGTCTACGTATTAAGGAAACCCCATCAAATCAAGTCACAAAATTAGTATTTATTACAATATTATAAAACGCGTATAATCGGAAACTTTTTCAAATCACTGAAATTTGTATAACTGATTTGGAATGTGATAATAGACAACTAATTGCTCTCAATATTACTATTGTTCCCATCTTTTATGTAACATGTAATGTTGATGAATTTCCTATCGAGGTTGACTCAACCAATGTATTTACCCTACGGCTTATTATTGAGGTTCTGCTTGCAAGTAAAATGTGAGCAGACATGTAGGGAAGTGAGAAAGCACCATTAACTAGACAACTGACAACCCGTTGACGTGAAATCGTTAAAGACTCGACTTCAGAGTGAGAACCGATGTCATCGATAAAGTACTTCAACACTTTGCCGGTTGTTATGGTAACTTTCAACTATTGAACCTATTTCATTTGTTAAACCTATTAAAATCATCAGCTGATCCTGATCATTGGGCTTTATAATTGCTCCTGGCTAATGAAACAGCTGATCTTAGTCAGTATAAAAGCTACACAGATCTTAACTTTCATCCTTCACTCATATTGGTTGAAATACGCACCCAGGTGGCGTCCCCATCTCAACGATTGATAATTAAATGGTAATTGACAATCCTAAATATATATGTTTCGTGGTAAAATCTTAGAGTAAGTAAACACAATGTTTCAAAGCTGTTTTTTATGGTAATTGGTTGGTAAATTTACAATAATGAATTAACATTATGCATTTTGTGACGCTGTTAACATAAAATTCTACCCCATGTCCCCAGATTGATTTCCACCATTATCCAGTTAAATTCTTAGACATTTCCATTGCAGTAAATTCACATCCAACCAATGTTCATTTACTCAGTCATTTTAGCAACCAATTCACAATTTTCAGTACCTAGTGTTTGGAAGGATATGTTTTTTAGGTAGTTCAAACTAGTGCAATCAAAGCTGGCTAGGCAGCGTTCGGGTTTGGGTAAAAGCATTGACTATACAACACTATGGATTGAAGACTCTATGCATTTTTAGTGTTATATAATCAATGGTAAAATATCACCATCCCTTTGGTCCCCAGCAACTCTTCCATTTTAGCATAATTATTGGTAGCAGATTCAGCACTCTTAAGTTTGGGTCAGAAATAGCAACTCTCAAACCCATTCGTTACTACCCATCAACACCAAAATATCCCCAATATCCCCTATATTCCAACAAACACCCCATCATTCATTCATACGTTCATACTAACCGCTACAGTTTATACAACGTGCGTTACAGTTACGGCTGAAAGTAGTTCTGGTAAAAACTGACAGACAGCGTGCGCATGTCCACCACGGTCGGTTGAAGGAGTGAGAAATTTACGTATTGCTAGGAACTTGGACTGTATGACTAAATATAATACAATCAATGCTGTATAACTATAACGTAATGATTTATACAGTTATGATTAGCTTTAGCCTTTAAAACAAGAG